TAGCACAGAGATCAAGTCGTCAATTCAAATCTCGTAGTGGTAGACGTAGTAAGAGTATAAGTATTAATCGGAAATATTAGGGTTTGAAGATGTTATTCATGGAGTATAATCCAGTGAAATAAATTTGGAATGAAAATAAAGGACATGAATAATTTGGAAGAAAACAAAGAGTGGACACACCTGCGCAAACCATTGCAAACGATGTTGAGCCATGTCATTCAAGGTCTATAACCATCGATTGCTATCGTCTCATGGATCACAACCAGGTAGTCTACACCTACCAACATGACTCAGTCCACTTGTCAGTCAGTGACTTCATGGGTTTGTGCCGTGTTCTGTTCTGGTCGCCCCTACTTTTCTTCCAACCTACTCCTACATCATAAAACTTTGCAGGTCGAGGCAGTCGGTGGTTGGGCATATGTAACACGTGTCCCAGTCATCTCAACTGATCAAGTTTCACTACTCCGTCGATTGATTTTCCATCCTTACCTAGTACCCGTTTTCTAACGACTGCATTACTTACTCGGTGGTCACACGACATACTAGAAATGCTTCTAAGGCATCTATGATCGAATACTAGTGATGTACGAATATCTTCTACTCTTACTGGCCATGTTTCACTGCTATAAAATAGGACGGAACGAACCGCTGAGAAGTAAACACTTCCTTTGTTTGATAGATGGATATCTCGCCTACGCCATAAATGACGCCAGTTGGCAAAAGCTAATCGAGCCTTGTGTATCGGTGCTGAGATTTCGTCACACACCAGAACACAATGGCTGATGAGACTCGTAAGATAAGTGAAGCGGTCGACACGCTCAACTACTTCACTTGATTAACTGCAATCTGTAACATCAAAAACGGGAAATTCAAACACTTATAAATAAAAGTATTAAGGTCACTTTCGTTGCACAAGACAGGGGCTATCTGAATTTAATAACTCAGTAAGTAACCCATTGAGTGTTTAAAGTGAAAAGTACTGGATTCGAGTTCTTTTGTAAACACGACACTGGAATATAGGTACTTCTAGGTGAAGAGCACCAAATAAAATGAACCATCCTTCCTGAATTCCTTTACTAACCACTATCCAACCTTAAGTAAAAACACTTTTGATCTAATGGCATTATCGAGGCAATACACTATGGATACACTTTTTCTGAAGGTGACTGAACAATTGCAGTCCATAATATCAACAGCAAAATAATTTAAAAACATACAAATGAAATAAAATTAAAAACAACAATATTTACAAAACACGAGAAACTGATTGTGTCGTATTTTTTCTCTTCTGAAGCAAAGAACCTAGTGGTTTTAATTATTTTGAATAATTAACAATTTTTAATTAAAAGACTGAACTGCCCAACATTAAAGATTAATTTTTTTGGAATATCAATGAAGTTATATGTACCCTCCAGTATTCTCGTTCTCGCAATATTCTTTTTTCAGGTTGACGACAACATGAAGCGACATATAAACTAAAGAGATTGAGGACCTACAGTGATGTTACGAATGACGTAATTGAAGATGGAATCAGCATATTGCCACAAGTTGAAAGGATCTCGAAGGGAACTAGAATAGCATGTTTTAAATTCTATAAAATAAGTTTTAAGCATCGGTACACATATTTGCTGGATGCAGCAATTCTGAAAGTCATTTCTTAATACAGAAGTACATGTGAATGATGTTAAAAGGGACTAAGCAAAATAAACACGTCAAAAACAAACTAAACGAAAAGAATTATTAACTGAATTTTGATATATTATCTTGACAACAATATATTATCTAAGTCTGGGGCATTGAAACTGTTGGTTATAATAATAAGATAAAACATAGCGTCAAATATAGCCTACTAATGTGATATAGCTTTACAGAATAATCAGAAATTCATTAAAATTATCAGACGACAGTTTCATTTCAGAGAGTGTATAGCCAAAACCGAAAAGCACAACAACTCCAAATCCCTTATTCTGAATTCAAATGGTGAAAGATGAGTTCATTCTTAAGTTAGTAACTTGTAAAAAGATATTTCATCTTGTCCTTATCGAAATATCATTTTCGGAAAAGGTTTATATAAAACATGCAACTACTGAAATTTTGATTCAGTAGTTTAAACTTATAGCTAATTTTATTTGACATATTGGCACTGCAAATTTTAGAAGTTACTCCTTAAACAAGTCTTTCCTTAAAGACTGGCTTTAACATTAAGGATTTTACTTGAAAAATTAATTTATTAAATCATCATAGACTTTGACTGGATTAGTCAAAATGGTTGTTGTTATTTGCTGTAATTACCTTGTCATGATGTTAACTCGCTATGAATTTGATATTATTAAGTGTATAGATTATTGAAATTTATGCTTTTTTTAAAAATCAAATTTCCAAAAACAAGAAATGATGAAATTTAAACAAATGGTTTAACATCCACTGGGCCTGTATTTTAAATGAGTTCTTACACAACAGAACCGGAATAACTGGACGAGAGGCGCCAAAGAAAGCAAGAAAAGAGTTCCGAAAAATAATATATTTGATTGGAGGCAGAAGTGAATAAACATGAAATTGTCAACCTCATTATATAAAAGGTGAGGTATCTCTCATGGGCTCTACCGAGATATGTCGACAATGGTTGACCGGATGTTTTCAGCTATTTGTGTTCCTTAAAACTAGTGAGATTAATATAAATATCGAAAGGCAATGAATTTATATATTTTGAGGATTCGTTTACTGTTACAAATGTTAGTGGGTCTGTTAGATGGAATATTAAAAGAGAATGCACTTTCAATCTTAGAAAGGATTTCAATATTAGCATGAAAAAAATCACATTTGTGAGCATTAGACATTAAACCTCCAGGTGAGTAGGCTTTGAAAAGTTCTATTAAAGAAACTGCTTTTATGATTATTATGTCTGAAACGTTAATAGATATCAATTAATATATGCACCAATCAGAATCCGGATCCATGGTTTTATATCTTGAGTACATCACATCGTCTTTGGTCTAATGTCCTACTCCTTGACCAATGACACGCTCTGACTGCTACGACTAACATTCACCTGATGTTTAGTTATCTTAATTCCTAGTATTTAGTCCGAACAAGGGAATAGAACTGCCGAGCTTCTGTTATTCCGTATTTCAAGCACTCATAGGTTTGTATACGTAAATTACCAGACCTAAACACACTCCAAATTATGAAAACCACTTTACACACAATCAAGCTATATATGAGAGAGATTGGAGCGAAAGTCGGACAATTATTTAGCAATAACTAAATGTGTAACAGTAGCTCATAGTTCGAAAAAAGGCTCTCAGAATTCACCCCGTTTTAACGACGATATTTAAAATTCCTAAATTATCATTACAACAAAAACATAACCTTTCTTACTTAACTTAAAGTGAATCATATAATTTTGAAGTGATTGTGTACATGAAAAGCAAATGTTATTAGAAGAGAATTTGGGGAGATAGCGTAAGTTATCATGAAATTTTCAAACTATAAGGGAAAAATAAACAACAACTTCAAGATGAAAATTAGAAAAAAGCTATTTAGTCATATTCAATAAAGTGAAGGTTGAAATAAGAAAAGTACTACAGCTTTTAAACATGAAACACTTAAGGTTGTAGTGTCAGTTAATATATCAAGCCCATATGCCTTATTCTAGCTTTCGGACATTCCATCCTATTCATCTACTTGAGCCATACTTTGACCTTGTTATTTATTCGCTTATCAATCTAGACTGTTTTTATATGAGCGTATATGTGTGTGCCCTTCTTATCCCATTAATCACATGTCTGTAGCTTTATTTTGTCTGACTATAAATATTGAGTAACGCTTGACTAAAGGGGAGTTGGCTTACCAGCCATCTCCACTGCGCATCATTTTTACTTGGCTTCACCGTGTGCTTGCTTGCGGATTTTTATTAATCATTAACAATAAATTATCTCTACAACTTGTGTTCGGGCTTTTGAATAATCTCGCGTAAAATCCATAATTCTATCAAGAGATTTAGCCTGCATTGAATACTCGGTTAACGGGATATTATTTAATGGAGTCAGATATAGAGGACATTAGCCTCAACAAGGTTAATAGTAATCGTTTTATTCAATATTGTGTTTATTATAATACAAGATTCTAGACATTTGATAATGATTACACTCACTTTGTCCATTAGATTATCAAAACTTTGAAATTACAATTAAATGCCCAAATTATCCATATGGATACACAAAAATATAGCGATAGGAACTTTATTATCTAAAATAGTCATAAATTTGTTTATGTGGAATATGCTTGACTACTGTGTCAAAGTACTAACGATTGACTCATTGGGAAGTGTACATCTTAAGTCAACATTCTGTCAATCTTTCTGTGACACGATACTACACAAGAAAAATGTGATTGACCCACACCAGTTTTATAAGTGACACTCCACATAAGATCTCGATTTGCTTGTTTTTGATACTTTCGCGAAATATTACTGTTTATTATTGATCCTTATCAAAATCCGTAGAATAGGTGTCGTTTAAAAAAAACTAAGTTCTGCTCTAAAGAACTTATATAAACATAATTGATTAGGCTAAACAGTTATACTAGCTGACCACTGTTAACCATAAACAGATTTTGGTAACGAGACAATAGGTACTACGAAATTGGATAATTTCGGCAGTGTACAAATGATGCAATAAAACAGTAATTCATTATTCGCAAGGGCAATTGAAGAAATACACGCAGCTACTCACTAATTAATTATAAGTCCGTGAACTCGTACATACCTTGTGAGAGAACTAGTGACAATATTATATCTGAAATTGAAATGGAACCGGTTTTAAACCCGTGATTCAGTAGTTAGAAGTTAAGTTCCTATGCCTTCAAGCCGACGTTTCTAACGCCAAATTGTTAGGTAAAATGAAGGCTATTTCCTCCACTGTAAACTTTTTTTAGTTTGGAGATAAAATGTTTACTATAAAAAAACTAGTTGACGCTCAGTAGATACTCAGCTAACAGATTTCAATTCATAAATTATTTTATTTATTTCAGAAAGAAATTATAATGTATTTTAATATAAGTGAAGTTGAAACTAATAAACAGAACAGATAAAATGATAAACAACTGTCTACTTAAATGGTTATGAGTAGTTGATATAACCGTGAGCGAAAAAAACACGCAACTGGAACTTCCACATTAATAAATACTAAACAAAAATGACAGAAAACTAAAATCTATTCGAATGTCAGTGTTAAATACTTGAGAAAAAAATACAACAATATGGTAGTTATATACTTCACCTCTGTCATTAGTCAAACGACAAATTTGTAATATATATTCATCATATTATATTACAACCATAATGTTATAACCGTCTTGAAGAAAACAACCACATAATAAAATCAAAGCTAAAAGATATAACTGAAATAATAATTCAACAATTAATGAAAGCAGATCAATTCAGGTGACAAATGAACAAAAGAAGGGAAACAACAATACATCATAAGAAGGAATAAATAAAAGTAACCCGATAATCAATTGCTCATTAAACAATATTACAACATAATAAGCTCCATATGGAAGGATACATAAATATCTATGATTCATTAAAAGTTACATTTCATCTGTGCGTTTAAAAGTAAATGCATAAGAGAGAGAGAGAGGGGAAGAAAGAGAAATGCAAATAAGATATATGTATATCACAGTATATATTATGTAATGAGTTCCTTTGGGATTTGAACACGCGCTCAAAATTGGAATTGCACAATACATTATGTAAAAATGAAATTTGTAGAGATCCAAGTTGTAATTAAACGTTTATTGACTAGTGAATAAGATAAAAATTTATTGACCAAACATACACATACAATAACATAGAAGGACGGTAGTTTTCTTTTTACAATGGATACGTATATTTAAGCATCTTTTAGATTTGCGTATTAATATCACAAAGCATAGTCAATCGGATAGATAGTCTAGTAAGTTAGTCATAAATTTGAAGAGAGACCACAAAATTATTGGTGAATTTAACCATGAGGCATAATATCTTTAGACAGGAGTTATTATCATATTTTTTTGAGGGTAAGACAAAGTGAAAAGATTTTTTGAAAATGTAAATTTTGCTGAAGTATCATATCAAATTGTCTTCATTACAAATATAACTCTGTGAAACAAGCGTAAAATGATGGATAAATATTGCGGTGGAAAAAAGACAAGACGAAAGAAAATTAGAAAAAACATATACAACATAGAATAATGAAATGCAAACAATGAGAAAGCACTTTTTTCATTTATTCAAAATAAGCAGAATAAAACTATTGTAACAGTCAACCACTAGCCCATGAGTGGAAGATTTGGTTGCTATTCGATTCCAGTAAAATTAACTGTTGCAGTAACTTGAGCACCAACGCCGGGACCACTTGACAAAGCATTATTCGAATTGATTCCACTACTACGTTGCTGTTTCTTTGACTTTTTCTTATCACCACGAAATAATTCACGATAAACATCAGATCGTAGGAAACGACAATAAGAATCGGATTTCATTAAATGGAAAATGTGTTCTTCAGCTGCTTCAAAGCAATAACGATTTGGTGTTGTATTCGATTCACCATCTATTTGACGTCTTACTAGATCAGCGATTCTACTGTCAATATTTATTGGTTCTACTGCATTTGGAGCTAAATACTGTTGATATATATTCATAATGGATTGACGAACTTCACGCAATGGAGCACCTTTAAGTACCTATAAATGGAGAGATTATAATAAATTAGACAACAGTTTACTTTTTTGCTTGCATTATAACAAAAAATATTTCTTAGATACCACAACAAACAGACATAGCACTCAATTATATAGATTGAAGTAGATGAGCTGGTGATCAGTAAGGTTGAACAATATCGACGAAGCAATCAGGATCGAAAAAATACTTCAAAGTCACCCCCTCATATATCAACTTAGAACGACTGTTAAGTATATAAAAGCGTCTAACAATACAACTGAAATACACATAATATTGAGATTTAAAACAACGATTTATTTAATGAACGGTTTATCACTGTAAATGGGTTTCAAACTCGTGAAGTATCCGTGGCGATTAATGAGTCTGTACGTCTGGAAAAAAGAATATCTTCTTTATTAATCACGTTAAGATTAATTACAATATGTGATAGCGTAAATGACGGTCGGCAGTTGTGTCTGAAGTTAATAATTACCATCAACAATCCAAACAGGGACTAAGAGGACAAAAATATGGAAACTGTTGCAGCTAAACAAAGATTTAAGAAATGCACAAAAGCTAGAAATTGTTGTTACAAGAGTTGAGAGAACATAATTACAGCAATAGACGCAGTAAATGTTATTAGTTTATGTAAATACCTCAGAATATAGCACATCGATAAACATACATTGCACCACAAGTCTAAAAATTATTAGAAATGAAACTGGTTATTGAATAGTAACACGTAGCATAAAGCAATAAAAAATAAGTCAAATGAGAAGAGAATTTAGAGATTTCAAGTGAACCTAACAATGACATTTGTTGAACCATAATTAAGCCATAATGTTAATCAGGAACCGTATAATGATAAGCTTTCGTGAAGGAAACAGTGTTAGTTATTCAAAGGGCGTTGAATTGGTGAAGAAAACATTCACTTGTGAATGGGGGAATGAAATGACAGAGCATGAGTGCAGAAAAAAACACTATATTTTATCGTAATATTTAATAGGGTTAAGATCATAGTAGTTAATGTTTAATTTTCGGGTTAGAGTGAAGAGTTTTGTCTAGATTAAGGATTAAGACCGAGTTAAAATTAGGGTTATGATTTGAGTTAGATCTGGGATTAGGGTCAGGTTTAGGGAAAGAATTGGTGATTAGAGCATCTTGAAATTATAACCATTAGTCGTGATCTTTGCACCAAAATCTAACGGTTAAGAGCTTGAAGCAAACCTATACGAATTAGCTAATAATATAAAACAACGATATATTTTTGGTATTATATTATAATTCATTCATCTATACTTATTCTTTTCTGACTAATCAAAATAGGTCATTCGACAGTATAGTTTAACTTTACCTTGGTAACCTAAAACTGAAGAGTAGTGTGATACAATAAAAATTTAGAAGTGGTTCTTGCTTTATTTGTTTGTTTCAACACATAAATATTGGTACAAAGGGGCAACGAATACACACAAGTCACTTGAATTGTGTGTGGGCTATGATACTACCCGGGTGCCAAGACCGAAGCTAATACTTAGCTTTAAAAAAATTTATACAGTGAAATCTCCCCATCTACATGAAAACCATTTTTTTTTAACAATACCAGATATTTTAGTAAATGCAAAATGTGAAGGAAAAATTTGATTAAGTGAATGGTTGATGATAGGAATTATGTAGGACAATGTAAATGTATTTCATGTGAAATTCCTTTTAAATACAAAACACTTTCGTAACCTGCTAGCGGGGACATAGACTAGATTAAAGCATGCTCAATACACGATTGCTTTGGTGCACGCTGATTGGCTAATTCTTATCCAAATCAGCGTTAGTCAATACTTAGTGAACACTATAAAAATCTTCTCATGTGAAAAACTATAAATATACTAACGTTTTCCCTATTGCACTTACTTGCTTCTTACTTCCATCTAACCTTGTTATCTGGAATATAATCTCCTTTCCTGTACAACCGTGTTCTGATTTGGGGGACTTGTCGAGTGAATCGGTGTCCGAGAATACTAAGCAATAGGAATAGCTGGGTTATAACCGTAAGAGAGAATTATAACATAACTACATGTATCTTACACACAAAAATATTTTTTCAAATTTGATCTCAATATTTTGTTCTGTATATTTTACGTTGTTTCGCGTAGACGATATCCAGGTAGATTAGTCGAGAACGTTTTACAAAATCATGAATAGTGTTATAGTGAACTATAATAAATCATTAAAAACTAGACAAAAATCAATTGGAAAAAATTCCATGAAATTATCACTTTGAAACTTTCAAAATTGAATCCCTAAAACCGGTATCTTCAGCGTTTGATTTTTAAGGACACTTGAAAGTTTTCTATAGATACACATGCATTTCATATTGTATCATGGTCAGTCGGATTTAAAATAGACTTTTCCAATTTTTTTTAAAAATTTCCTCTCCTAATTTTTGAGGACTGGGTTAGCTAGTTCGGAATTGCAGCATTCCCCGAAAATCCAACCCGAATCAAACAAAGGAGAATTTTAGGATGATCGTCATTTGGAAATGGATGAATTCATTAGTCTCTACTAATGAGTATTTCACGTATTCACAAGTATTGAAAATATATTTTGATATCGATTAGAGGTGAAATTGAGGAGGAGCATTTCGTCCTGTTTGGTACTTATTACGTTGATCTTGCTGTTTTCAATGCGAACTAAGTCTGATACTCAATTTTAGACTTTCCAGAAAAGGTAATAGCTGTTATGAATTGGGTAGATTAGTGGATAACAGTTTAGTATTTTTGAAACGATGGGTATTGGATCAGATTTCCAGTAAAATCATCAATATTAATTTAAGTATAAACACACTTGACAAGTCTCAAATAAAACGAAACACCCATCTTAGATTTCATTACTAACCACTATCGTCAAAAATGCATAAGTAATTACAATAACAAAAGATTTCTTTTTCAAGTGCAGTTTCACTGGTTAAAGCACTTTACATCCAGTCGTTTGAGTTGTAGTTTTGGATCCCATAATATACACTACTTCAGTTTGATTAACTGGATAATACCAGTGGTTCTTCTACAAGGAGTTCTACTTAAAATTGGGTACATAAAATCATACTTGGTAAGTGAATAACAAGTATGTAAATTGCTTACTTGACATGCTTGCCAGAATCTGAGATTTTCTGCTGAAAATTCTTTTTCTAACCAACGTTGAAATTCTTCCAAACCAACTGGATCTTTTAATAGTTCATGAATTGAGAAACTCCAACGTTTAATACGACGAATAGGTAGATATTTTGGACGTAAGTCCGTATTCCAATAATCAGGATTATCAGAAATCCAAGGATTCAATGCACTAACTGGTTCTTGATTAGGATCATAGACTGAAAAAAAGAATAACATTTGAAAAATTAGTCGATTAAAACTAGCGTGCATGTATCTTGATTGATCTACCAAAAATAACTAATGTTCATCAAATGATTTAAAGTTCGAACCACACACTAATCACTTTATTCTGAATAGTTTAGTAAACGTTAATGTCATACTGTGGTGTGAGCTACTTATATCCATATAAGTAGCATATAACGGTAGTCAGGAATAGAATGTATTTCAGTAGAAGATTGTGAAGGAAAGAGCAGGAACAGAAAGGGATTGGTATGAAAATGCAGGAACAGTGAAATCTGAGACGACTGACTGATATTTGCAAAGAAACAGTCAAGTTTGAGACAACTGATTGATATTTTGCAAGTATTTACTGTATGGTTCTCGCATTTTAGTGAGATGTTCTGTAATTTCGTGTTCAAATACATTCGATTGTCTCCACTTGTGTTCTTGTTCACTACAGTACATTTGATGATTCCCTTGATAAACTTGAACAAACTAAGCACGATAAGTTATATACAGAATAAAATGAATTAAAGGTTATTTCAAGGATTCACGTCTACTGTAAACAGCCATAAACTACAAGGAGTAATATAATTATACATCAATTTCGGTCTGATTAACAATAGTTTGAATTTTTCGTTGTTGATAATATGAACTGAAATTGATCAATCGCCTTTGGAATAGGTGCATCTTGAGTTGATTGGCTTGATAATACTATTGAGTAACAAGTATTTACGTATAGTTGGATAGTGGTCAGTAGAGGGATTCAGGACACGTTTAATCTTATTTAGAAAGCTTCAGCTAGAAGTAACTGGATCTGTGTGTTGATGTCCACTATGGCACTCAAACCCAGCACTTTCTGTTCAAACATCTAACACATAACCTACTGAGTTCAATTAACCACTAACTTGAGGCCTTTTTAGAAAAAAAATTATTGTTAGGGAAAATGGGTTTTGGGACTTAAGATTATGACGTATGTTTGGATTTAAAAAATGACGAACAAAACACAATCCGACAGATATTGATTTTCAATGATATAATATGGTTGTGATCACTTTTATGAATTAGAATTATTAACGCAAGTTTTCCGAATGAATTGATATAAAAGGACAATGAAACTGGTCAAAGAATGAGTTTAAATACCGCTTTGGCGTTCAGCTTGTTGTGTTAATGAGATGTGGCAACCTGGATCGATGCATATATGTGCCTGGTCCTACGTTGTAGATGACTGACTGACTTATCTATCAATAAAGACATGTTTATATTATAAAATGTTCGATGTAAAATAAACATGAATATAAAGTAATTGAAACACGGTTGATTAAAAGATGCAAGTTCTGTAAGTTATTCGCAAGCTAACAGAACTAACATCTGACTCACAGACTTAATTTTAATCTTATGTATCAGTTATTTTAATCAATATAACTCTTAAAAACAAAGGTTTCATTTAACATATAAAGCTAATGTGCGAAGTAGAATGGGTTTTAACTCAATGACAAAAACGAATGAATCTTAAGTTATAAAAATACTATAGTTCATTATATGATATGTTAAATAATAAAAAGTAGTCTTCATAATGACTGGAAGTTTTTTTCTTTGTTGACAGTCATCTCAGCAGGGAGTTGCAACAACAAACACGATAACGTTGATTCACTCGAAGTAACACTCAACTACAAATCTGTTAACAATATATTCGATTGATGAATCCATCGGACAACTGATATTTTGTAAGATTAAACTACTTCTCACGAATCATTTGACTTATAAACACCAACACCCTAAACCCAGTCTTCAACGGACATGATGTTTTTTAAAATTAAAAATCACAGAACGATCAAGAGGAAATTAAATAATTCATTGGAGACTTAATCATGATTTATTGAATGGAAATTAGGAACACTGAAGGGCATTGAGTTGAAGTAAGTTGTATTTTGTGTAACAGCTAATAATACTATCCAACTGATTAAACAGAAGTAGGTGGAGAAAGACTCGGGAACCTACGATCTGGTTGTTGAAAGTCTAACACCTTAACTACAAAGCAGCTGATTCATTAAACAGCTTAAGAAACTATATGACATGATAAAATAAACCTTACTTCTTATTATCTACAATCATATTAACGCTGATATTTAGAGAGAAAAAAAGGAAAATAATTAACTACCCGAATTAGGTGAACTAGCAGTAAGTACTCCCATATGTCCAGCTGATCCATGTCCACTAGAAATTTGACCACCTGTCGAGAAATTATGTGCACCATTTCCTGTTCCACTGCTGGTACGAGCTAATGACATTGAAGTCAATGATGTGATTCCATTAAATCCAGTAGCTGAAATACTACGAGTATGGTGAATTAATTTATCACCGGATGTACGTAATATAGATGTTGGAGTAGTGGCAGTGGTAGAAGAATTAGTATTCACATTTAAACTACCTAACGCCAACTGGCTAGTAGAAGAAGCTGTATTCGGTTGATTTATTCCAATTGTAGACGGTGCAGAAAAACCAAGAGATGTTGACGTAGATAAAAGTAAATCGAATTCAGAATACTGATCGGCAAAGTTCTGAAACAGTAAACAAGTGGATGACAAAAATAGTTACCTACCTGTTATGTTTATAAGAGCAACAAAAGGAAATAAGAAAACGGAAAAGGAATATTCTTGGTTAAGAATAAATAGACTGACATCATGTTTTATTATCCGTTCTTTCTAGAACTTAGAATATTGAGAATTCAATCAATTTTATTAATATTGTGTCAGCCAACTCCCACATTACTCTCTGGATGCCATCTTATCACATGCCAACTGGTGCAATTGGACTTAATTTGACGATGCAGTGAGTGTATTAAGTAAGCTGAGAAATCTGAAATGCGCCCCCAAATGCCCTGGTATAGCCGAGAGTGGGGAGAGTTCGCTCTCCCTCTCGAAATGTTCTCACACGGCCACGCGTATATAGCCTCTGACAGGGAAGTCCTACTCACTGCCTTCTCGTGGCGGGGGTGTTGTCTACGAAAATGAGAGGACGAAAAGTGAATGTCTGGAGCTTTAACCAGGTTAGTGGACATTGTGAGTTCACCTAGGAGAGTTGGAAAACCCTGATTTCAAACCAATGGTGCACATGGGCTCCAGTATCCTAAAGAAACAAATGGCATATGAACCAATCGTTGATCACCGGCTATCATGGGACTGCATCTCCCTATGATGCTCCACTGCCTTGTGGATCAGACCTTCAGGTCGAAGGCTCCGGGTGTGGCCCTCTAAGAAAACCACCTGCTTCGGTTTGGGCACCCGGGCAATATCACAGCCCTCACACAAATCATACGAGATTTGTGTGGCGCATATGTATTTGGTGCCTCCTTGTACCGATATCTATGTGTTAAAATACATAAATAAAATCTGAAATACAGAATAAAGGTAACTCAGTAGTGGTCCTTGACAGTCTTACGTTGTAGATTGCAAGTCATACCGTTTGGTTTGTGAGCTCTAGTGAGACTATGACCCGAATATCAGTGTAAACGGAGTGGAATTGGAAACTGAAATCTAGTGATCAAAAGTTGAAAACCTACACTAATGAGACAAACTGTACATTTTAAAATCAAATGACTATAAGTGGGTTAACGAACTACGTGACATAAACATACTTGCAAACTCTCAGCAGCTTTAGATGATTTAATTCTTGTACGTGAACAAGTATGAAGTTTGTCTATCCTATCTCGTAGTGAAAGACCATCCAAAACGGAGAATAAAATAGATCCATCTAAAATATACAGGAAAAGATGAAAAATGGAAAGTGAAAAAATATCATTTCCCTTCGTTTTTATATGAATCAAAGTGCAAAGAATTCAAAAAAAGATGACTGATCAGGGAAAAATTTTCATTATCAGTCAGCCTCAAGTGTTCTGGAAAAGTGTAACACTAGAGATAATAATTCTTAAGGATTTGAACACTTTACTCTTGCGAAAATCAGTCACACTAAAATACACCACATGATTTCTACGAAAGACAGTGTTATGTGGTGAAGATAAATATATAATCATATATAAAAACATAGATCACGAATTCCAACATAACTCCGCTTATTTTCGATAAAACAAAACAAGTTGTGTAGTAACCACCTTACTTCAAAATAGAAGGCACATTTGGCGACTGGTGAATTTTACAAATACTAGGAAAGCTTACCAATAATAAGTGTTTTTGACCCTAACATTGGATGTAGTAGGTTCGAATCTCAATAGAGTATCAGTTTCTTTAAAATTGTAGATAAAACTTGGTGACGAGCATCAACCAGTACAAAACATAAATCCAGGTTTCTGTCAGTTGTTTCCAACTACCTAACACATTTGTAAGGTCTTCCTTCACTTTACTTACCACTATCATGTAGTGCTGAAGACTTGACGCACGTTATTTTCGAGATAACTTTGTTTAAACTGATGGAAAAAGTGACACATACGAACAAACCTACTGTAAAACAGTAACAGGAATATAGAAAATTAAATGTTTTCATGTATATAGAGCTCCGAAATGCCCTGGTATGGCCGAGAGTGGTGTCACCATCTTGAAACATCGACTTCGGTGGCTTGGACATGTTCTACGAAAGTCGTACCAGGGAATTCCACGTCGTGCATTATTTGGGACTGGTTGGAAAAAGTGGAGAGGTGGTCAGTGCATGACATGGTGTTGTGATATTAAAGAAAGCTGTTTACGAGAGGATTCTGTTGGTTCTTCACAACTCTCTGGTTGGCGTCTTAAAGATGGTGCAACACAGTGGCGATTCTGCTGTAACCTTCTTTTACTTTCTTCATAAAAAGTGGTTTTAACTTCCTTAACTGAAAGAATTCTTCTGGTTGTACCTTTCCGTTACCCCCATTATTATTATTATTATTATTATTATTACAGTACCACACACTAATCTGTGGTCGTTATTGTTTTTTTTCTTATATGCACCTTACCTTCTTTTTTTCTCTTCCCATTCTCATTGTTTTGTGTGGCGCATATATATCTGGTACCCCTCTTGTACCAATATTTATGTGTTCAAATAAATAAAACTCATGTATTTAGTGAGTAGTACGACGAACCATTAAAAAAATGTCAAATTTGTTTGATTCGATTTTTACTGCTTTTCACTGGTGAGATAACTTCAAATCGTATGCTATGCATACTTCTTACATTCATTTAAGGAGCGATAGTGATATATATATCCACATTTAAAATCGAAAGTTGAAATGTTACTAATTTATAGACAAAATTTAGTGAAACAGATTGAACCATCATGGTATTCTGTCTAAATAGTTGTTTTCACTTTCTTTAAAACTTATGCAAACGACTGTAAGTATAAAATTTCTCCAACTCAGTCCGATTTCAAAACCAGGAATGAGAGAAATGATCTGAAATTTGATACATATTGACGTTTTAAGCATTAGTAAGAGAACAATGCACTACATTGATACTAAGTTTGACTTAATCAGCCAGATTGTCGTATGGATAGAGGAAAATTGAATAAGTTACTATATACAAATAATTATTTGAAAATTTAATAATTTACATAAAATTGTAACCTGAAAATACAAGAAATACACTAACCTGGGCCACTCGGAATAGGAAAATTTATAGGACGAGATGTGGTTTTTTTAGGGCGTTTAGCGCGACACAATTTACGCATATCAATATCCGTTGTATTAATACAGCCTGGTGGTGGTCTATGTAGATCCCAATAGGCTCGTTCTTGTGATTCAAGTACCAGTCTCTCTAATTTATCTCTTTTCTTATCTACTTTAGCTTCTGATTCTGCCTACACAAAAAGTAGGAATTTTATATTACACATAAATATATGAGTGATAATCAAAAATTTAATGTATCATACAAAAGAGTATGAATTGAGTAACTCCATAAGTAGTTCTGTGCTTAATACTGATTGCTGTAAGGAACTTTTGAAGGATCTGCACGAAATATCATGACAGATTGTTTTTATTTACGATAAGTGAATAAATTACTGGTCAATAACAATCTTTTGAAAGCAAAATTATTAGTCATTTTTTATTAGGTTACAACTTGATATTTTTCAATATTCTATCTTTTCTACTTAATATCAAAGTATAGTTAATACTCACAGTTCTAAACAATGACTTACTATTGTCCAGGCAGTTGAGTAGAATTGTCAACATTTAACAGATCTGACAAACAGATAATGTAATCAGGAGACTAAACTCCTTTGTATACGCTTTCTTTACGAAATTTAAACACAATTTTTACTAGGAATACTAGCTCTTCATCTAACGAAATAACCTTAAGCAACTGATTGAAGGCGGTGAAATGTAAAACCTAACAGATAATCTAGACATTTTGGCACTCAGTTGACCAAAAATGTGATCCCGACTACATACGTCAGTGAAAAACTCGCAAATAATAGCTTAACCTAAATGACGAAGTAAGAAGTGTTGTTTTAACGGTAACCTTGCATATTTTACGAAACTCCATGTTTTTTTACAAATAGGTAATAGGTTAAATTTTTAAGTGAATAAGAAACTAGTTTCTAGGGCTCTATTTTCAACCACTAAATAGCAGGTTCAAAAGTACTTTCTTTACGTGTTTGAGCTATTGAGTACCAGCGTTAGTCACCATGCACTGAATCAAAATCAGTATACAAATCTGCGGTCAGTTAATGAGTTGCGAAAATTATTACGGAAGAACTGAGTATTAATCGTAAAAATTAAAACATGCATTTATTGAGACCATTTGGAAAAGCTTCAGGGTCGATCTACCTGTATATAAATGAACGCCCTGGTGTGGCCGAGGGTGAAGAGAGTCAGCTCTCCCACTCGAAATGCTCTCACATGGTTACACGTATACAGCCACTGACAGAGAAGTCCTACTCACTGCCTTCTCGTGGCGGAGGTGTTGCCTACGAAATTGAGAGGATGAAAAGCGAACGTCCGGCACTTTAACCGGATCCCAAACCAATGGTGCATATAGGCTCCAGGATCCCTAGGGAACACATGGCGTGTGAATCTATTGATCACCAGCTACTATGGGACTGCATCTCCTAATGTTGCTTTACTACCTAGTGAATTAGACCTCTAGTTCAAAGGCTCGGAGTGGGCCCCTAAAAAATCAATCTGCCTTGGTTTGAGCATCTAGGTAGTATCCCAACCCTCACATAAATCGAATGATTCATATGGCGCGCATATATTTGGTGCCTCCTTGTAATAATGTTTAAGTGTTTAAATAAATAAATAAAAACCTACCTGTATATAAATGAACTCCCACTTATGGCAATAAATATTTTGTAAACTAGCCAGGCGTTCAGCTTCAAATCCAGCCAGTTCCAATCTCTGTTTGTTTTGCATGGTGCGTTTACACAAATAAACAGCATAATCTGCCGTATCTGCCTCCATGCATCGACTTGGGTAGAGGAAAGGAGTTTGAAATCGATAGTACGTATGTCCATCATTTTTCACAGTGAGTACATGATCATCAATGCAAAAAATATAACCCATAGACGCAATACGACTAGCAATATGAACGGCTTCAGTAACATCACTAGCTCCAATGTGTTCCATCAACCAATGAACAATATCACTACCTAAGATAAGAAGTCAGAAACAGTAAGTGCTAATATATTAGATAAGGGTAGTTTAATAGTTCAGTTAACAATATAAGTAAGTTTATTTTGAGGAAAATTGATAAAGCAACTTATTTGGAGGTCACATAAACCGATACACTTAGAACTATCAAGTCAATAATAATCAGTGTTCCTAAAACATATTCTACGCTAAAAAAACACAAAGACAACTTTAAAATTAAAACACGAAGTTCAGTGAAGGGATCTCTTTTCAAAGAATTTATTATCAAGCTGTACAATCGTATATATATATATATATATAACATTTTAATCATCTTATTATATTCACTAAATCTATTGTTATCATTCGTATTACATAATCTAGTATTACAATCTTTCCACTACGTCATCTTGGTTAATTGTGTTCAAATTTCCTCACAGAATTAGTACTTTTTCATACATATACGATTGTACAGCTTGATAATAAATTCGTTGAAAAGAGATCCTTTCGCTGAACTTCGTGTTTTAATTTTAATGTTTAAAGACAACTTTAAAACCTTTTGAAGAATGATCTGTCGCAACAAAATATGACAACGACATAGTACATGGATGACGAACTATTTTGAGAGTGCAAAAAAAGAATGAGGTCTTCGTTATTTGGTTAAGTGTGCCTTTTCAAAGAAATTTGAGATCGGACTGATCATTATGATAATTAAAAACTGGATTGCACACAAACTTAGTTGAAAAACAATGTTTGGGGTGGAATTTCTCGTCTATTATCTTACTTATAATATATTAACTCTAGTTATCATACCTTAGAGATTAAGCCGGGGATACTAAATCTCCATTCGACAGTTATAAACTGTACTGCCTGAATCGTTGGCAAAAAAACTAAAATGACTTACAGATGCTAAAAAACAACATTCGGTTTTCACAAACACAGATAAACCACCAAATCCATATAAATGGAGTATTTGGTTTACATATTGCCATCTTAAAAATTAAGCTATACGGCTGGATCACCGGGCAACATATATTGAGGCTGATAGTAGATCGCTATGAATAGAGTACGTCAGTGGAGACATTAGCCCACACCCACAGGCAACTCGAACATGTTATGGTTCAGTAATCATCATCTACGACAATGAAAAGCTTGTAAGAAACTTTGTATTAGCTTTTTCACCCGATAACACCAATTACTGATTATATCACTCAGTGATGTTCAAATTGTACAGAATGATCAATATACCAACTGCCTTAAGATAGGGCTGAGATTATCTCACTGAATTAAAGTGCACAGGACGGTTTTCTCAAGACTCAGATGAAATTAGAAGTGTCACCGGCGCCCCTGGCCATAGAGAAAAGTTAAGTATGTACTTAAGGTTATGTATACTGGCTAATTTTTGAATCCATATTTATATTACGACAGATTATCGTACTTGGAAACTAAAGGCAGTTATTTATCACACTTAGGAAACAAAGTACAGAAACATTATTTAAATAACGAGACCTATTAAATAGAAAACTGCAACTGACCGGTAAATGTGCTAGGAATTATTGACATTAGACTTTTAACATTGCGGACGGGAATTCCATCCTCTTCTGAGATCATCTGATCAACCAATGCTTCTAATTTTTGCCAAAGATAGTCATTTGGAGATTGACGGTCATCCAAATCTGCGGGCAATTAAAATAAAATGAAGTATAATACCTTCAGATGATATCTTTTTTGACTGTGCACATTTGACATTTAATTTTTGGTCTGCTTCGCAGTGGAAATCACAGACTTGAGGAACACTTGATGAAACGCAGCTTTTGTTCAGACACTTTGCATCAATTACGGAATGAGACTCAGACTTTTTTTCGGATAATCCCGATGTTTTACAGGCTTTAGGAAGGCTAGATGGGGAATCACAGCCAGTATCAACAATTGGCGAGTACGGTGCCTCACTCCCAGAACATTTTGAGACGCTTTGAACCATGTTTTGAACATGTCTGCAGGCCATACTTCTCAACTGGTTGACCATACCAGAGGGTGACAAGAAAAAGGAACGACCTCAAATTTATTTGAGGAACCCGCAGAGGTCATCGTAGATTTATTCTTCAGTAGTGAAGATAAGAGTTCTATCGACCCATATTATTCCTTGCAGTTCGTAACACTGTGGAGGTCCAATCTCGTTTTGAGCATATTAACAGAAGGTTCAGGTATTATGTGTTCTGGTAGAGAATTCTAGTAATTCACTACGAAACTTAAGATGTAGACAATTTGGTCTCGGTTTCTTAACTTTCTTCAAATGTCCTCTCAAATAATCAGTCGTAGACGGAAGAAAAAGATAAGACATATTAATAACAAGTATACGATGAGCCAATGTTGGATCACTTTGTATTCTACGGTAAGATAACGGAAATAAGTTAGTGTCTCAGTTTGTCTTCATAAGATAGGCCAGATAGACTTTTTACTGTTTTAGTCCTACATCGCCGGACTCATTCCAATATATCCACCCCATATTTGAAACAAGGACTTGTTGCTTGAATTCCATATTCCAAACGCGGATATAATAATCCAAACGTTTCGTCATCTAAATACCGGAAGGACCTACGAATAGACCATAATACCCTATAGCCTTTCGCAGCAGCAGCCTTACAGTGACTGGTGGTTTTGAGACCACTGCTTAATATGACTCCTAAATATTTATAGTTTCTTACTTTTGGTAGCACGAATCCACATATTGTGTAGTGATACGGATCATCATAGTTATTTAATTGCATCACCACACTCTTGTTAGGATTTACTTCTAGTGACCACCTATCCATCCATGCCACCAATGAGCTAAGATCATCCCGTAATACTATTCTATATGACATACTGTGTATGGTTCTCCAAATCTTTATGTCATCGGCGGGGAATAGAATGGATGATTTTGCTACAGTTGGTAATTCAATTACATAAAGCAAAAAGAGAAGAGGACCGAGGATTGTACCTTGGAGAACTCCACCTTTTACATGTACCCACAAGGAGAGAGCTCCATTTACCCTTACCCTTTGACTCTTGTCATGGAGAAAGTTTTTTATCCAGTCTATGACTGTATAATGGGTCACAGAACTTTCCAGTATGAATTTAAGACCAGAATAAGGGGCTTTACCAAAGGCTTTACATAGATCCACGAAGACCACACCTACAGCGATATTCTAATCGTTCGCCGCAGCCCAATCTTTTCTTGCAACAAGAAGATTTGTCAAACATGATAGGTCTTTTCGAAAACCATGTTGTTCCCTGGATAAAAGATTATGCCTTTCCATACAGCTTACTTACTTACGCCTGTTACTCCTCGTGAAGGAGCATAGGCCACTCACCAGCATTCTCCATCCAACCCTGTCCTGGGCAATCCTTTCTAGCTCCGTCCAGTTGTAATTCATCCTTTTCATATCTGCTTCTATAATCCGACGCAATGTGTTCTTTGGCCTTCCTCTTTTTCGCTTCCCTTCAGGGTTCCAAGTTAGGGCTTGCCTCGTGATGCAGTTTGACGATTTGCGTAATGTATGTCCTATCCATTTCCATCGTCTTTTCCTAATTTCTTCTTCAGCTGGAAGTTGGTTTGTTCTCTCCCACAGAAGGCTATTGCTGATGGTATCCGGCCAGTGGATGTTGAGTATCTTGCGTAGGCAGCTATTTATAAATACTTGTACTTTCTTGATTGTGGTTGTTGTAGTTCTCCAAGTTTCAGCTCCATACAGTAGAACTGCCTTGACGTTCGTATTGAAGATTCTCACTTTGATATTGGTTGAAAGTTGTTTTGAGTTCCATATGTTCTTCAATTGTAGGAATGCGACCCTTGCTTTGCCGATCCTCGCCTTTACGTCTGCATCTGAACCTCCTTGTTCATCGATGATGCTTCCTAGGTATGTGAAGGACTCTACATCTTCCAGAGTTTCGCCATCAAGAGTGATTGGATTGCTGTTCTCCGCTTGAATTTGAGGACCTTGGTTTTCCCTTTGTGTATGCTGAGGCCTACTGATGCAGAGACTGCTGCTACACTGGCTGTCTTCATCTGCATCTGTTCGTGTGTACGTGATAGGAGGGCTAGGTCATCTGCGAAGTCCAAATCGTCTAATTGATTCTGAGCTGTCCATTGTATTCCGTGTTTTCCTTCAGATGTCGAGGTCTTCATAATCCAGTCGACCACCAGAAGAAAGAGGAAGGGAGAGAGTAAACAGCCTTGTCTGACTCCAGTCCTTACTTGGAATGCATCTGTCAGCTGTCCTCCATGCACTACTTTGCACTGTAGTCCGTCGTATGAGTTCCGGATAATGTTGACAATCTTCTCAGGAACTCCGTAGTGTCGAAGAAGTTTCCATAATGTCCTCCTATCTACACTGTCGAATGCCTTTTCATAATCAATGAAGTTGATGTATAGTGATGAGTTCCACTCAACTGATTGTTCGACGATGATCCGTAGTGTTGCAATTTGGTCTGTGCACGACCGATCCTTACGGAATCCAGCTTGTTGATCTCGAAGTTGGGCGTCTACTGCATCCTTCATCCGGTTCAGCAACACTCTGTTGAAGACTTTCCCTGGTATTGACAGTAGTGTAATGCCTCTGTAGTTTTCACATTTGCTCAGATCTCCTTTCTTTGGAATCTTGACGAGGTGTCCTTCTTTCCAGTCCATCGGCACTTGTTCCTCCTCCCAAATCTTTTTGAATAGAAGGTATAGCATGCTTGTGGTTGCTTCGATGTCTGATTTCAGTGCTTCAGCTGGTATGTTGTCGGGTCCTGCTGCTTTCCCGTTCTTGATTTGTCTGACGGCCATTCTAATTTCTTCCGTCGTTGGTGGGTTGACATCTATAGGAAGATCTATGTGTGCTGCTTCGATGTCCGGTGGATTCATTGGAGCCGGCCTATTCAGGAGTTCCTCGAAGTATTCCACCCATCTGTTACGCTGATGTTGAATTTCGGTGATTGGCTTGCCTTCTTTGTCTTTGACCGGCCTCTCTGGTTTACTGTATTTCCCTGCTAGTTTCTTCGTTGTATCGTAAAGCTGTTTCATATTTCCTTCTCTAGCAGCTTTTTCTGCCGTCGTTGCTAGTTCTTCCACGTATTTCTTCTTGTCGGCTCTAATGCTCCTCTTCACTTGTTTGTTTGCTTCTATGTATTCAGCTTGTGCTTGGACTTTCTCTGCTCGTGTTCGGCTGTTGTTAATTGCTGCCTTCTTGTTCTTCCTTTCTTTGATCTTGTCCAGTGTTTCTTTAGACCCAGAACCTCTTGACACGTTGAAGTTAATGCTTCCTTGATGCCTTTCCAGTTGTCCTCCATAGTAGTTTCTTCTTCTTCAGTAGATCTTGTAAGGCTTGGAACCTGTTGTTGAGAGCTATCTTGAATTCATTGAGTTTGTCAGTATCTCGAAGGAAGGCTGTATTGAACCTTTGTAGTGCTGTTTGTCCAGTTCTTTTTTAGCTTCAGTTTTAAATTGGCTACAACTAGGTGGTGATCTGAAGCTACGTCAGCACCTCTCCTGGTTCTCACATCTTCCATTGTCCTTCGGAATTTTTTGTTGATGCAAATATGATCTATTTGGTTCTCTGTAGTGTGGTCCGGTGAGATCCATGTAGCCTTGTGTATACGTTTGTGTGGAAATATTGTGCCTCCTATGACCAATTTGTTGAATGCACATAAATTTACAAATCTTTCTCCATTTTCGTTTCTCTCTCCCAGTCCATGTCGTCCCATGATATCTTCATATCCGGTGTTGTCTATTCCGACTTTGGCATTTAGATCTCCCATCAGAATAGTTAGGTCCTTTCTTGGGCATTTCTCAATGATTGACTGTAGCCGCTCGTAGAACTGATCTTTAATGTCGTCGTTGCTATCATTGGTGGGTGCATAACATTGGATAATATTCATTAAGATCCCCTCCTTCTTTGTTTTGAATGATGCTTTGATGATTCTGGATCCGTGAGATTCCCATCCTACAAGTGCATTTCGTGCTACTTTGGACAGCATAAGAGCGACTCCCTGAGTGTGTGGAGCATTGTCCTCTTCGTGACCGGAGTATAGCAGCATCTCTCCCGTAGCTAGCCTTTTCTGTCCAGCTTGGGTCCAGTGGGTTTCGCTGATTCACAGTACTGCCAAGTTGTATCTCCTCATTTCCATTGCTATTTGACTGGTCTTCCCGGTTTCCCACATTGTTCGAACGTTCCATGTACCTATAAAAATTTTTGCTCTAGTTGTTAGAAGGGGCATCGGCCTCGTGGCTTCCGAAGGAACTCGGCTTTCACCATGAAGCGTCATAATTCTTCTAACTGAAGACCTTCTAACTCCCAGGGCAGAGTTAAAATGGTTTGGATTATTTTTTCTGGTAAGCGTTTTTTTAGCGAGTTAGTTTTCTACGGGATGGGGACGCTAACCCCATGCCCAACCCTCCTCCTTTACCCGGGCTTGGGACCGGCAGTAACCCTATTAGAGCTACAGGCGGAGTTTTCCATACAGCTATCTGAATCATTTTTTCCATTGGTTTTAAAACTGCACTGGTTTAACTAACAAGTCGATGGTTACTAACGAAATCTTCACTCCCAGCCTTATACACCGGATTAATTGTTGAGTCTTTCCAGTCTCTGGGCAGTCTGAACTGCCACAGAGACATATCAAACAGTATAGCTAAAGGTTCAGTAATTACATCTGATATGGCTTTTATAATCCTAGGATGAATATCATCAGGACCACTGGACTTATCAGGTTTAAGATGCTGGAGTAGCCTTAAAACAGTGCCTTTCTCAATGACCACAGGGTCCATCAGCCAGCTGCCGCGATCACAATGAAACGTTAGTCGCTCTTCTTTACTGATAGAAAACACTTTACTGGAACATTCCAATAAAGCTTCAGTTCTTTCGGTATTTCTTGCCAATATTATCGAATTAGTAGCAAAAATGATGAAATTCCATCACTTCTATGAGTCCTCTTTTTCATATAAGAGAATAACTGTTTTTGACCATTTTTACAATCCCTAACCAATTGTTTTTCACATGACGATCTAGCCTTGCTTATTAATGCTTTACAAGTATTCCTAATCTTACAATAACTGGATCTGTACTGTCCTAAGCCAGTAGAAATGAACATATTCCAGTGCTTTTTCTATGCCTAAGAAGTTTTTTGACTTGTTTAGTTATCCATGGTGGGTTGTAATTCGGTCTACGTGGCACCATGTATGGTATGGACGAGCACTAAACTAAACTAAACTTGCTTTCAAATGTAGACCGTGCTTCTTCAACTGATGGGTCAGTATCTCCTGGATGGTTGATATGCCAGCTCTCCACACATTTTGGGAGAGGCTTGACCTGTTCGTATATCAAGTCGCTAGCTCTAAATGTGAATGACAAAACAGCATGTTCGCTATTCACTAACAGTGAAAGAATATTTTGGTTGGCAATATCCTCAGTCTCATGAGTGATTACCAAGTGTAACAGAGACGAACCTTGGTTTGCACCGAAACGTGTGGATTTGGATACATGCTGTACTAATGCATGCTCCATTACTGTTATCAAGAACGTACTATCAAATGAGTTTATAGATCCTTCCGTGGTCATCTTAGTCCAACTGATATCAGGTACATTAAAGTCTCCTAGTATCAAGCATCTGATATTTGCACTCCATAGCGGAATATGCTCTGAAATAAAGCCATCAGCTAAGCAGACTGGGCTTAGATGGACATAGAGTATAAATGTACAACATCCGGTAGTGAGCTCACAGCTATTAACTTCACACGTTCCACTATCATGGGATTCGTAAACAGAGGAGCGGATATTTATAATATTGGCTACGAATAAAAGGACGCCACCTCCATTACTTCATCTGTGTCTATCACTTCCTACGTAGTGGTATCCGGATAGTTCTAGAATAATGTCAGTCATGAAGTAACCAAGTTTCCGTCACAGCTACAATGGGTGGCCTTAATTCGTACACCGATGCTCCTAGTTCATGGAATTTATTTCTTAGTCTACGACCGTTGGTATATAAAACTCCTAAGAGGAACGGCCTAACCACACAGGCCTTGATAGCATTCGCTTCCAAGAGCTGATCATTTGAAAACCCATTAATCGGAGTTTTCCTCACTGTTTTGCCGAAGGGTTTCTGGTCTAGTGCTGTCTTCCCTTTCATTCTACTTTCAAAAGGTATATCAGGTCTTACTCAAATGTCGGTATTGTCGTAACTGCGAGCGCTACTTAACAAAAGATCAAGTTGCTCCTCCGACCCTAGGACTATCTTGAGAGGTCTACATGGTCGGGTTCAACACTGTCGTCGGTCCTATTACTCACTCTTACAAATATTTTGACCTGAACTCCTCCAGAGTTATCTGGTAAGATGCTACGGATATCAGTGTTTTGGTAATAAAAGAGAGTTTGTAACAGCTTAGGTTGGTTGGTTAAGAGTTGACCCCAAACAACCAAGTATATGCCAAAACAGTATTGTTCAAGTATTCATTCACTTCCTTGTTTTGTATAAGCGTTATATTCCCTATTATCTTATATTGAATGTTGAGAGCCTTTGTTTGTCTGAACAGATAATCCCACGCTCCACTGTGACCGCGCTAAGATCGAAATAAAGACCTATTCACTACTTGTCTGGTTTCTTCTATCAATAGCACGAGGGTTACTTAAGGCACGAAAGTGGTGAGCCCTTTTTGAACACAAATTTAACCTCATTTCTGTTATTAACATTTTTTTTACTTAATCGTAAAAGTAGACCTGATTTTCCGTAAACTAATTTGAGTATATAACTAGTTTATTCCGTATTATCTTAAGTTATTCGTGTTATAGTAACCATTTTTTGTGCTAACTTTATTGCTATATTTGTCACATACCTCATGTCAGACTCAATAGAAACCCATAATCTGGAGGATTTGTCACCAGTGGAGATAGACACTGTTATGACTACGAAATCCCGACTTCCAGAATTTGATCGTAGTGATCCTGAGTTGTGGTTTGCTCAACTAGAGCATTATTTCACGAGACACAATATCAAATCTGAAGGGATTCGCTATAGAGACTTGTGTTCTATCCTTCCTCCTTCAGTCGCCAAAGAAGTCCGTGACTTGATTTTAAGTCCACCATCACCACAACCATACACCATCTTAAGACGAGAGATAATGAACCGTTTATCATTATCAGATAGTCAAAGAATCCAAAGACTTTTTCAAGGTGAAACACTAGGTGATCGGTCGCCGTCACAGTTTTTACGTCACCTCCAAGTCTTAGTGGGTGATAACACAGTGGGTGAAGCAGTCCTAAAACAAGGATGGATACAAGCTCTCCCATGCTACGTCCAACACTGTTTGGATGCACAAGATCCTGAAACCTCATTATCTCATTTAGCGCGTATAGCCGACAGAATAATGGAAAGAGGTCCTCCAACTGGATCAGGCACAATAAATCACACACAAAAAGTAGAATCAGCAAAAGACCCCGTAATAGAAGGACTCATTGCGAGTGTTAAGAGTCTCACTGAGGCTGTCACCAGAATGCAAATGGGTCATAGAAACAGGAGCAGGTCACCACAACGACCACGATCCAAGTCACAAAACAGGTCACAAATGTCCAGACAATCTGGGCAGTTTTGTTGGTACCACTGGAAGTTTGGTGTCAACTCAACCAAGTGCATGCAACCATGCGCCTGGCCTAAGCATAATTCTAAGACAGCGGGAAACGAGTAACCCCTCCCCAGGTCGCGACGACTGAGGAGGGGCGCCTAAACAGTCGCTTGTTTTATGTTAGAGACAGAAACTCTGGCTTGAATTTCTTGGTGGATACTGGCGCTGCTCTTAGCATCATCCCTCAAAATAAAACTGAGATTAGTCGAGAAACATCATCAATTACACTTCAAGCTGCAAATAAAACTAAAATTGCGACATTTGGGCAGAAAACTTTAACCCTAGATTTGGGGTTCAGGAGGCAATTCCCTTGGGTTTTCACGGTAGCCGACTTAGATCTGGCAATACTGGGGATGGACTTTCTAGAGAGATACGAATTTCTAGTTGACACCAAGAAACGGCGATTAACACTAAAAGAAACTTCGTATTACACAAAAGGCAAAGAAAGTCACATCAGCTCTCTTAACTTGATTCAAACTCCCCAGTAACAACAGCGAAATTCCAAGATATACTCGCGGAATTTCCAAACTTAACTAAACCAAACCCACAGCCTTCTAAAGACAAACTAAAAGTAAGTCACACTATCAAAACCGAAGGTGCACCGGTGTTTGCAAAACCCAGGAGACTAGCACCAGATAAGCTCAAAATCGCTAGGGCCGAGTTTGATTATATGCTACAATTGGGTATTATCCGTCCCTCTGATAGTCAATGGGCATCCCCTTTGCATATGGTCCCAAAGAAGAATGAAGGTGACTGGCGACCGTGCGGGGATTACAGAGCCCTAAACCGTCAAACCGTACCAGATAGGTACCCAATACCTCATATCCAAGATTTCACCAACGGTTTACAGGGTATGAACATATTCACTAAAATTGACTTAGTCAGGGCATATCACAATATCCCGGTGGCTGATGAAGATATTCCCAAGACAGCTATTACTACACCCTTTGGCTTATTCGAGTTTGTACGCATGCCATTCGGCCTGAGAAATGCGGCACAGACATTTCAAAGATTCATAGATAACCTACTTCGAGATATGCCATTTGCGCAGGGGTATATAGACGACTTGTTAATTGCCAGCCCCGATTTGCAATCACACGAACAGCATGTACAAGCAGTGTTGAAAAGACTGGATGAACATGGAATAAACATACATCAAAGTAAGTGTGTTTTCGGTGTTCAAACTTTAGAATTTCTCGGTCACACAATAAGCCCAGAAGGGATTAAACCTATCAAAAAAGAAGTGGATACCATCAAACAATACCCCGTACCTAGTTCTCTAACACAACTGAGAAGTTTTCTAGGCCTAATTAACTTTTATCGCAGATTCATACCAGGTTGTGCACAATTAATGCAACCTTTGACAGATTCACTTAAAGGAAAACCAAAAGAATTCAAACTGTCTTCTGACGCCATCGAAGCTATTAAACAGCTTAAAGATAAACTGGCTCAAGCAACTACGTTGATATATCCGAATTCTCTTTCCCCACTTGCTTTGATGGTGGATGCTTCAGATAAAGCAGTAGGCGGTACCCTTAACCAACTGGTTAAAAACGCCTGGAAACCAATTGCTTTCTTCTCGAAAAGACTCGCTCCAGCCGAAACAAGGTATTCTACCTTCGGGCGAGAACTTCTTGCAATCTACCTGACCATTAAACACTTCCGACACATGTTAGAAGGTAGGGAATTTATAGTCTTTACGGATCACAAACCTCTGACGAATGCATTAAAAGCGAGAGCCGATAAATACTCACCTCGAGAAGTCCGACACCTTGACTATATATCACAGTTCACAAGCGATATCCGACATGTCAAAGGTCAGGACAATCAGGCGGCAGATGCTTTATCCAGACTAGAAATGAACGTGCTACAGCAGTCTACAGTAAACTTCGAGACGTTAAGACACGAACAAGAGCAGGACCTAGAATTACAAAACCTACTTAAAACAAACAATTCAAGTCTTAATTTAAAACAATTCCCATCACCTATCGATGGTATTCTAATTTATTGTGACACGACCAAGGCAATGCCGCGACCTTTCGTTCCCAAAAATATGCGAAAGTTGATATATAATAACTTTCATTCTTTGTCTCATCCTGGCGCGAAAGCTTCAACAAAACTAATCAATGCCAGATATATATGGCCGAATTTACAGAAGGATGTACACAAATGGGTTAGAGAGTGTTCAGCATGTCAACAATCAAAGATTAATCGTCACACAAATTCACCCATAGGTGTTTTCTCGCAACCAGATGCACGTTTTGCCCATGTGCATATCGACTTGGTAGGTCCTTTACCACGTTCAAACGGTTTTAATTATCTTTTTACATGCATAGATCGATTTACCAGATTCCCTATAGCCATCCCGATAGCGGACATCACAGCGGAAACAGTAGCCAAAGTTTTCATGCAGAACTGGGTAACCATTTTTGGTACACCCATAACAATAACGACGGATAGAGGAGCGCAATTCGAATCCGAACTATTTAATAACTTGGCTAAACTTCTAGGCTCCAATAGGATACGCTGCACTGCATATCATCCTCAGGCTAATGGGATGGTAGAACGTTTTCACCGTCAGCTAAAAACCGCCCTTATATCTCACTCAAACCCCAATCAGTGGACAGAATTCCTACCGTTAGTTATGTTGGGAATACGAACATCTGTCAAAACTGACGCACAGTGTTCAGCTGCGGAACTGGTTTTCGGAACAACTCTGAGACTACCAGGTGAATTTATTAACCCTAATACTAACAGTCAAAAACTTAATTTAGAAAATTATGTAGATCAACTACGGGACCACATGTCTAAAATTAAGCCGATTAATACTCGTGAACAATCGCGCGCCGTATATATACCTAAAGACCTAAGCAATTGCACGCACGTCTGGATAAGATGTGACAAAATAAAAGCACCACTCAGTCCTCCATTTGAAGGTCCTTTCAAAGTCGTCTCAAGAAAATCTAAATATTTCGTGATAGAAAAACATGGAAACATCGACACAGTAAGTATTGATAGGCTAAAGCCGGCTTATCTAGATCATGAACCACCATACGTGTTGTTAGATCGTTTAACTGACAAATCCATTACGGAATCGAAATGTAAAGATGATAAATCTTTACAAATGACTAAAACGGTTCGCTGGGCACATCCGATCAGTCAGTCAAGGATGTTGACAGTTTCGGCTGCAGGATAAAATCTAATCACGTAGCTAATCAGACCCTGCATTTACTTAAAAATATTTTTTTCCCTCATTCCGCCTCACCTACAACTCCCCAGACCTTTTACCTTTGATATATAAGTGTTATGTTAATAATTTTTTTAAAATACTGGACACATAAGCTAGGTATTCCGAAACGATGGCTGAGGATTTTAATCAAACTCATACAACTAACACTGGCAAATACAACGAATTCAAAAAGCAACCCAGGCGAGTTTTATAATTTCTTTTTCTGGTTAATTAACTATGTTGGCTGTACTTCTTATATATTTATATACATTTTTCACGTAGACTGGCTATACATATATACCATATGAACTACTTCTAAAAGTTTTCGGTTGAGGATATGTTTAGTAGCTTGATACGATTAATACTACTATTAATAAGTAGTTTTCTAGACAAAACATTTTGGATTAAACCATGGTCAAGTACTTATTAAGGTTCTCATCATTTTTTTCCTATTTAGGAAACTTATGCAATAACTTAACCAGTTCTCCTTTAGCATGCTTTTTAGTGTGATCATATAACCCATCTTTATTGGCAACATTCAGATTTTTTTTAATTTCTGACATTTAAGAATCAATAACTGTGAAAATATAGTACAGTGCGTTACTGTAAGGTTACTATGTTAGCCGCATTGATTCCACATACCTAATTCTAAACACAACTTATAAGGGAACTGTTTAGTAATCATAACATTGAACTGACGATATGAATATCACGGCTATGCTAGCATTAAACCAATTATTATAAGTGGCCCATACAAAGTCCTGGAACTTAACACTACCGTTATAAAAAAGACATTTTATGTCAATAACTGATATATATATACATATATAAAATGGAAATTTACTAAACTTGTTTTTTTTTCTATAGTGATAATATTCATGTAAACAAAGAACTTATACTTTTCCAATATGGCACTTTGATATATCAATCTGTCCTCTTGTCATTTTTTCTCTCATATGTGCGCGACTTACGGGCAACAAACATCGTATTGAAGGTGGGTCTGGTGAACAAAAACGCAGGCCCCACACGCACTCGAACCTCTGCCCTCCTGAATGCTAGACCGCGTGCTTAGCCGTTAAGCCACATCAGACCACGGAGGAAGTGACTTCAATATTTCCTTACACCAATTAATCACTCATAATACTAATGAGTAATAGGACTTACACACTTCTGAGGTGCAAACCAATTCGTTACTTGGATGAATTGACGATATATTGCTTCAATATATCATGCATACCTAAATCAAACAAGAAAAGGGTATTTGACACAACTGTACTTGATCCGCATACTCTACACAATTTTTTTGCTTCTTAACCGTATATTCTTTTCCGTTTCGTGGAGTATTCTGATGCACCCTTGGGGCAACGCTCCTAGGGTATCGTCCACTGATGGGGGTTGCGAGCACTTGAAGGTCAAACAGTCACAAAATGATTGGTGCGTCACATCGACAATTCGTGAAAATTTTCAGAAGCGGTCAAATCAAGACATTTTTAGATTTGAATTCAGTTCAGCCACACCATGTCTGGTAACGTCCATTCTTCAAGTAACGAAGATAATGCCATCGTGATGATGCATGATATAGGACGAATCTTCAATGATACTATGTTATCTCGAAGACTTACAAGTTGGGACAATTTTGAGACCTGTTTGAAAGAAGTACATAAGGTAATATGACTTCTGTGGTTAATAATTATTTTTTAGTATACGCATACTAAGTACGTTATGTCAGTATGCAAAAAGAACAGTGATGATCCAACTCCAGAGTACTTTTTCGTGAGATATGTCTGTACATATGGACGTAGACGCAGTTCGTTAGAGTCAGATGCTTGCGTTCAGGATGTAGATGATGATAGTAATAATCATTCTTCTGAAGAGCGTACAACGTCTAACTCGCCAACACAACCTAGGCAAAGGAGACGACATCGGTCATCTACGTATGCCTTACTTCAAATGAATTTATCCTTAAGGTCGAAATATTGCGTTTCAATGACTACATGCTGCCCTGTGGTCATATTTTGTATGCACATTCTAAAGATCTGATTCGTGGAGGTATGTTTGTTCCTTTATCTTTATAAGTTTTGTAGACTTATTTCGACATAGCAACCGGTGGACAAGAAAATACATAATGGACCTAGTTCTTCGTGCGCTGGACAACATCTCAATCTCTACAGAGAGATGATCTGCTAGAGAAGTTCACTAGCAACTACCACTCAATCCATGCTCTTAGTGAACCTTTGGCAAGTAAACTCATCCGTTCATGCCTCGAAGCATCGGAAGACATATGCGCACAAGTGATGAGTTCAATCGGTGCTAATGATGAAGCTACAACGTCAGAATCCATTGTTAATACAGACCATAGCTATGCTTCTTGATAACAAGAAGTTCTAATATTGTAATCTTTTTAGTTTTACATAAATTCATGTATGTGGCCATTGACTTATTCTTATAGCGTAACGACAGGGAGTGTACTGTGCAGTCTTATGTGGCGGTGAGACAGGGATGTTGTTTCGCGTTCTTGTGTAATAATTGCCAGTTGGACGCACACGCGATTAGTCATACATACCGTTTACCGAATACTGCTACCTTGAACATGGTGTACCGTACTAGTAGTTCGGATTTCGACCTGTCACGATAGATAAGAATTGCCGTAATTAAAAGACTGGTGCGTTATAAATGAAAAAGTTTATTAAAGTTTGAATCTAGCACAAATGATCCATTAATAAATAACTTTTATTTCTTAGGAATTGTTCCCGTTAGGTCTGTGAACACTTGCGAAGCTAGCTGGAAATAAGATAGACAGGAAAGTTACTTCATTATAAATGTTTACCAGAAAGTAGTATAAAAACGGAAACCAGTATTCAATTACAGATCGAAAGTGCATTTAGCACACCCTTCCTTTGGATAGTTAATCACGCTTATTTCCTTTATCTCTTGCGTTGCTTAGGAAAGTCTGGGTCACAACATACACGGATTGTATTATTTAATTCTTTGGACAGGTTGCACTTCGGAAACTTAGACGATGACCATATATAATAACTACTGTGTGAATTTACTTTGAATCGTCCTGTGTAACCTGCAATTCTTGATGCATATTCTGTTTTAGTCCCACGCAAGTTATGAGTAATTGTCATTTACGGCATCAGCACGTAAGCTAGACAGGCCTTGGTTGATTTCCGAAGATCATCACATAGGATCTCACACAATCTGGTCACCTTAGATCAAGATATCTTGACTATCGAATCGTACTTTTCAGTGCTTTCGTGTGACAGCTTTATATCAGTACTTATTTCTGCTATTAGGTATTTTTGCAATAATACCGGCAGCCAAAACATTGTAGCTCCCCAGACAACCCAAAAAGGGGTAAATGCTTTGGTAGCGAAAGGGAAAACGCATCAGAATGTCGCCTTTTTCGCCTGTCCGGGGGAAATAATGTGGATTTCCCCCTTTTTCGCCGTTTTGTCGATAAATTACTCACTTTTCGCCTAAATGTCCGCTGAATTGTCTACTTTTAGCCTAAATACACACAGAACTCCCTATTTTCCATCCACTGACATAACCCCAAAGGTCTCCTATGTTCGCCTTTATTTTCAACAACAGACAAAAATAAATCTGCAATGAAGTGGAAAACCGGCATATTTTTGAAAAATTTTATTTAAAAGGTAAAGCGTATTATTGTACAACACTAGAGCAGAAGCATAAGCATCGATTGTTTTGCATATCCAATGCAATTGCTAGTTCATTGTTATTCGAAATTATCTGCAAAAAAGGAACATGTGATGTATTATTTATAAGGAATGTGCATTTAATCAAAAGTTCACTGACACTCAAACACACATTCTCAACACTTCTAAAGTTTCCCATGTAAGTAAGAATGTAAGGTGTTTGAGAAATAATGTTTATCGAAATGTAGGTAGAACATCAAAACAATTGCACGGCTATTGAGAATTGAGGTAGTCGTCCCGTGAATTCTGAATTTAAAAAAGTCACATCCATATCTCAATGACATGCTTTGGTACAGCCAAATACTTGTGTAGATCTACACAAGAGGTAGTAATGCTATCTTAGCTTGGTCTCTGGTAAAATATCCACATAATTATACCTCTTCCGCATGATTATGATTTATTTCCTGCAATATAATCATCTAGTAGCTAATATATCTAACTGTAGAAGGTGATATTAACATCTTGGTATGTGTTATTATCATCTATAGCATATACATAATATTTACAACACTCAGGACACCTTATGTTTTCACTATAAACCTATTTCTGCCATAAAAGTCGAACAAAACAGTGAAAATCAGCAGAAATTGTGATAAAGATAGGAAAAACGATAAATCTTACCATGGTATCGTTAGTTGTAACGCAGTTTTGGTAGCCTTGACGACAATACAATTTTTATGACGATATATGCCTGAATCATGCTATTTCATATAAAAATAAAAGATTTGTCTACCATCAGTGTATACCTAAGTAGAAATAATTGCTATTCTGCGATGCAAACACCGAAAAACTATTATAGCAGCACCTGATTAATGAATTTTCAAGGACTTCGCGATACCATGTAACGCAAAATGGAAAAACCCGTTTTGACCTAATTATGAAAACGGAAAATAGACTTTCAAATTTATTCATAATGTATTTCGAAATTTGGTTGTGCACAAAGCAGAAATGAAAAAGTAGCGCAAAAAAGTGTCGCGATACCCCTGGAGCGCTGCCCACCCTTGGTTACGCACCTAGTTGTAAAACGCGGTCATCACAGGCTCAAGGTCACGTGTTTGATCGATTTTGCTAAAGAGTCCAACTTCTAGCAAGTTCACCCTTTTACATATATGCATTACAAAAGAGTTTTTTCATGGTTTTTCGTGCACAAGATATCTACACTATGTCTATTCTCTTCCAGAATACCAATCCGTTCTGGAGACCAAGCACTTACATGGAACCGAACAATTATCAATTACATTTATGTATTTCCATTTTGTATCTTATTATTTTATGCAGGCAGTGGAGCAGTTCTTCAGGTTTGCTTGATTTTCACCATTACCTTTGAAGTAGATTCTTCTTTACTTTTTACTTGGGGGCGACTCAAGAGGCAGGTGAGTAAACACCTGATAGCCGGTCTGAGCACGGAAAAATCGTACCTCACCAACATGGTGTTGGGTAGCCCGCTCGCGGCACTTCCTCAGATATTCTTATTCCACATTCTCACACTTTCTCTTGAAAGCACGCAGCAGAACGTTGTCGATAGTTGTAGAAGAAATCCTATGCTACAAAATAAGATGACAAGCTAGTAAAGAAGAGACATCCATGGACTATCGTTGACAGCGTCAGTCGTCACTGATTGTAAGTCAAACAGTGAGGGAGTTGATAATTTTCCCTTGGGATGAGAAATAGAACTAAGGTGTTTTCGATAGTTAGGTTAATCGAACCGACGTTCCTACGGAAGTCGATTCTAGGGGGAAGCTAATGTAACAGCTTAGGTTGGTTGGTTAAGAGTCGACCCCAAACAACCAAGTATATGCCAAAACAGTATTGTTCAAGTATTCATTCACTTCCTTGTTTTGTATAAGCGTTATATTCCCTATTATCTTATATTGAATGTTGAGAGCCTTTGTTTGTCTGAACAGATAATCCCACGCTCCACTGTGACCGCGCTAAGATCGAAATAAAGACCTATTCACTACTTGTCTGGTTTCTTCTATCAATAGCACGAGGGTTACTTTAAGGCACGAAAAGTTCATGGTTTCAGAGAGGTATGATGGATGTCACGTCTCTTTAGGAAAATGAAGGGAAAAAATAAATCATAATAAGAGTGAAGGAGTAGCACATTAAGTAATACCCTTCAGTTTCTAAGAAGCTATAGTAAACACTGTACACTCTTCTCAAAAGTTAACCGGAATTGCTATTACTATAGCATCCTGTCACGAGTCATGCATTTTGCTGATTTCAGTTACGAAAACGTTTGCACGAATTTATGTATGAGCACATTAGTGTTACATTTAAAATGAACTTCCCACTGGGTGAAGCTTTTTTAACAAAATAAGTTAATGATCCATTACAGTGTAGGGTTTTTTAGCGGATAAGTAACACTGAGCACCAGTCCCTAGTTCGACCTTTTTAATCCAAAAGTTTCAAATTGGGAGCTTCTATCTGAACTGGCTAGAGCTTGTCTCCTGTGAAATCAAATAAATTTGGTTCTTCAGTGATCACGGTCTATTAGAGTCTGGGGGAACGACGATGTAGAGGGAATAGCTAAAGTAACCTACTGTGTAGTTAGGGTGTTTTCGTATTCACATTTTTCATCAATTCTTATAATTTGTAGAATCGCCATGCTTGCCTGCAAAATCTGTATTAAAAAAGTGGCATTTGACCTTCCGTTCCGGTTTTGTGTACATATAGCATGACCTATTGGTTATCACTCACAAATACACTGCTACACATATAGGCCATTCTAGTTTCTGAACAGATTAATCTACTCACTTTTCTGAGGCCATATTTTAACCTTGTCACTTATTGGTTTACTAAGTTTGACTGTTTTTATATGATCGTATATGTGTTAACTAATTATCCCATTCATTATATGTCTGTAACGTCTTTTTGGTCTGGATATAAATGCTGAGTAACGTTAGACTGAATTGAGTTCATTTACATGCCTTTTCAGATTCGTTTCGCTTCTTCCTCTGAGTGTCTCTGTGTTGGGGACGTCAGATCCCTAAAATTCACTTGGGATAGGACCTAAGTTTGTAATTGTATTTAGAAAATTTGAATTTCTTTGTTTTCGCGCCAAAGGCGCTCTTGTCACCTTCATGTCGTATTTCCCACTGGGAAATATCCTAAATGCTATTGTTCCGTTGCGTCTTTTAGTATGCTATTTGGTAACTCTCCCCAAGGACGGTTCTGTACTATATATATACTTTTTGAATGGTGTTTGTTGTTATCGCTCGTTCCTGGCTGTTTTGAAGAATATACTTCCCATTCCAAGCTTGGACTTCTTCCTCTAATTAGCGGGGCTGGGACGCATCAATAACTCGCTGACTGGTCTTTGGTCACCGAGTCTTTGTTCTCGTCCTCAGATTAAGTGAACTCGTGATAGCTTCAACCCTAGCACTTTGTTTGTTCCGATCAAAAATTGTATGAAATATACCTGTTCAAAAGTTGTCTGAATCCGTAATTCACTAACTCTATTCGAGTCGATAAAAGAATCGAGGATAATCGACATGTATATTTCGATGACAATCAGCATACTGTCCAACTTGAGTCAGATATAGGGTCACTAAATTTACTTTTTAGTCTAGGTCAGAGTTACTTCGCGGTTAATGTGGATTACCATTTCATGCATCTAGGATTGCTTACAAGACGCGTGAAGCGGTTTTTATATCTTATGAAGGCACTCTGTGGTTTTGCACTTATCAATAAATTAGTGTTTCCCACCTTAGTTCTCGTTCACCACAATAGAATAGTATAATTAAAAGTGAAGACCCTATGAGTTATTGAGTGTCTAATTAAGTACCTATAAGGATGCCGTGAGTGAAGACTGCTGACTAGATTTGCTCTACATTACCAGACAGCCCAGGGTTCGAACGATTCTACTTCTTAACATTCATTGGCCCTTGACATGCATTTTTGATTCCCAAACTCTTTTGTCTTCGAAATTCAAATTTACGGACAACGTGCAGTGAAAATAGAACTATGATAATTAGAAGTATTCGAAATGCTGTATTAACTAGGAACTCTCGAAACTGCACTTTAAGCCAAATGAAAGTAGGTGAACACAAACAAACGTATTGCATTTAAAATTTGAAATCAATCAAAGCCTATCAAAGATCTTTATAACGTGATGTAGCGGGGATATAAGATGCAGCGACAACCGCTAGCAATTTATCCATTCGAACTAAATTGGTCAAAATCTACTTCAGTTGCTTTTAGGCTTTTATCTAGACTAATTAATGGTCGCCACAGGTTTCTAAATATGAATACAAATTGGACTGAAGTCTTAGGGGTTCCAGACTCAGATGGTTAATTCATATAGCATGTCTTTACAAAACGCCGATATTTTTTCTCCTCAATAAACTAACGAGACTTGTTCTAGGTCCTTCACTCCTTATACTGTATATAAATCAACTCTCAAGTGTAGTTGGGTCCCTGATGCTACTTTACGCTGATGATGTAAAAATTTGGCGAGAAATAACAGGCGACGTGGATGAATGTCCACTTCAGACAGATTTAAATGTTCTGGTTAGGTGGTCTAAAAACTGACTGTTGCTTATCAATGCAACCAAGTGTGTCTACATGCACACTGAGGGTACTAAGATCATGATCTAAAAATTACGGCTTAGTGCCGCGCGGTCACAGCTAAGAGGCTTACAACCCCATGGGCTTTAAGATGAACAAGTACCAAGATGAATACTAATATGGTAACGTTGAAGCGCATTTTTGGACAGTTTGACGGACGAACTTTCCACACAATCTTCAATAGTTTTATCCGTCCCCATTTAGAGTACGGAAACATAGTACTCCCTCCCTCACTCCAGAAGGACAAGGTCACTTTGGAGCGTATCCAACGGCGAGCCACGAAATCAGTTCGAGGACTCAAATCTAAGCCTTACGAAGAACGCCTCCGTTCACTAGACCTTTACCCACTAGAATATAGGCGTCTTAGAGGTGATTTACTAATGGCTTACAGTATTCTTAACACTTCTGGACATCCTCTTAAACACCTACTTAAGCTTAGTTCGAATAATAACCTAAGGGGTAACACCCAGAAACTGGAAACACAACATAGCAAGACGGAATGTAGACACAACTTCTACTCCTTAAGAGTTGTCAAAAGCTGGAATTCGCTGCCGGCCGAGCTAGTCCAAGCGACTTCTCAGGAGTCCTTCAAGAGGCAACTTGACCTATTCTTAAGGACCAAGGACAGCATCACATTATGATTTACCAATTTCTTTTCCTTTTTATTGTTAACATACCTAGGTTCCTGCCTGGAGGATTTGGTGATCCCCTGCTACTAGACACGGAAGCCTGTTAAGCGAAAGCTTCTTCTATTCCGTCCACAACCATTTGAACCATTTGAACCATTTGAATGTCCACTACAGTACATACAACCTTAGTGAGATTCAAACTTAAAAACTGAGTTCAGGCTGCAAGCTCCTTTATAAAGATGACTCGAATACCATTGAAAAAAAGGCGGAGAGCAGCTACCCGTGCAGTTCCAGGACTCCCGAGTTTGTTATACAAGGAGTGGCTTGCGAAGTTAGACCTCTATTCTACGCCCTACCACAGACTAAGAAGCGATCTAGTTTTGATATATGAAATTTTGAGAAGTGATCTTGGACCTGAAATATCCTTTTTTTCTTCATTATAAATCGGAACAACTGAGAAAATATAGCAACCAAATGCGAACAAATTACCCATGATGAATAAATTTTCATACCGAGTGTTGAAATACTGGGAGCATTACCCGAATAAGTGGTGACCGCCCGTACAAGTGACTCACTCAAGAAAAGACTAGACACTTTCAGAAGTTTGCCAGAAAAGGGCTAACACAGACCGTATGCCTTCTGTCCTCAAAATACGAATCTGATCTGAGCTCATACCGTCATGCGCTGTATTTGAATGTTGCGTTACTGAGTATTAGTGCATTTTCTTAACAAGGTATTTCTGTCTGGCTTTTCATAAGATCAAGTCACAGCGTGTTACCTAATATCAAAACTTGTTGACCTCCAGTTTAGCTGATTGATTCAGATTTTTCTTATGCTACACTTCATTTGATATTAGGAGGAATCAACGAAATTATAATCCTATATGATTGCATTCGTCGAACAGTTGATGTTTTGCCTAATTTATAAGGGATGAACATGTAGCATCATCTGTATCGCCTTAGTTATCAAAGTACACATGTTACGAAATTTCCCCATGAGACTGCGGATTTTCCAGCCTATAGTCAGTAATAAGGGTCGTTAGCTGATTAACCTGTCCTAATTCATGCAGTATTTTTTCGTTAATATTCCGTCTCTTCCCGAGAGCGTACACCGTTTTCCAGGTCGTTCCAATTGTTTACCACTGGACAGGAGGAGCGGGAACCCAAATTGAGTTTATTCAATCGTGGTCTTTGGATTCTTATATGACGGTTCCAGATATAGCAAATCTTGAAGAATACAACATAGTGAAACGTGTTAGTACCAGAGTGTTTTGCTACAGATCTCGTGTCAGTGGTATTTCGTCAGTAGTGTTGCTTTAGCTTTCACTAAGGCAGTGCTTTATTAGTGCACTTTTCGTGGAGTTTGAACATAGGCTTTAACTTTTACCATTTAGCTAGTTTTTAAAGACTCGTTTGAAGCTCTAGCCCAGAAGTATTACTACGTGACACCTTCAAAGCGTTTACGCATCCTGAACATATGAGTATTGGTGATCTGAATTGCATCGTAATCCGTTAATGTGAGGCAGTTATAGTAGGAACCAAAGGTCATACTTAACAGTTAACCATCTTTTACAAGTTTTTATTCATTGCGTCCGGTTCATACCGTAAGAAGCAGTTAATTTGAGCATAAACATGACCTCAAAAGACATTTCCCTTTAATATGGGGAAATTTTGAAGGTTCTTCCTAGCACTCTCGATTGTGAAAAAATTACCCCAAAGAGCCTATAGAGATACTAGCAATGCTTCCCATATTATTACAGTCACATATATATAGAGATACATAATAGTGCAGCAGATAACTTAAAGAAACATCACTTGACTAAAGAACTATTGCTCATTAAGAAAGTTATCCTACATCTACTTTGACTTCTGAGACCTGGAAAGTCTACGGATCCAGATGACTCATAATCCTGAATGTACCGTTGGGTTAACTGAACCTCATCACCCCATTTGTAGAAGTTGTGCTTTGTGACGTTACAAAGCCAGTTAGAGCACCCAAGAGACGAAGCTTCCATCATGAATTTGGTCTGTAAAGCATGGCAAAGGTATTTCGTAGGTCAACAATCGTAGTGTTTCTTGACACTAGGGTAGCCTTGATTTGTTTTCTAGGATTGTCTATTGAAGAAGGATATACCTGAGGATTTTATTAACATCCTAAGAGTCCTATATACAAATACCTCAGGCAGAGTGAGGGCATTGTATTACTGTGCGATGATACCCAAGCCATGCAATCCGCACTTACTGAGTTGGTAATCAATATCCGTAGGTATGGTATGTGCTTTGCACCTTCCAAGTGCAAAGTACTTTAACAAAACTGGCAGGATTCTAATCCTGTACTCATCCTTGATGGTGAGCAGATAGAAGTAGTCGAGAAGTTCGTGTATCTAGTTAGCTGCAAAAGTGCTGGTGGGGCACAAGTAATGAGATCAATGCACGTATTGTGAAAGTTAGAGCAGCTTATGTCAATCTGCGCCATCCTTGGCACTTTTATGATGTTGGTCTGGCTGTAAATGGCCGGATCTACAACGCGTCGGTGAGAGCAGGTTTGCTCTATGCTTGTGAAACCTGGCCTCTCCGAATTGAGGACGTTAGACGACTCTCTGTGTTTGATCATCGTTGTCTCCGAAGGATTGCTGACATCCAGTAACAACACCACGTTAGAAACCCAGAGACTCAGCATTTCGTGTCCAGTCAACTAGTGTCACTATCTTGAGACATCGACTTCTGTGGCTTGGACATGTTCTTCGAATGTCATCCCAGGGAATTCCACGTCGTGCATTATTTGGGACTGGTTGGAAAAAGTGGAGAGGTGGTTGGTGTATGATATGATGTCGTGGTATTAAAGAAAGCTGTATATGACTGGCTTCTGTTGGTTCTTCACAACTCTCTGGTTGGCGTCTTAAAGATGGTGCAACACAGTAGCTTGAGGCGTTATCAGGCATGACTCAAAATAAAAGCCAGTAGCGATCCTGCTTTAACTTTGCTATTTTTACCTATTACTAAACGTCCTGAAACTTCAAATGCATTTGCTTTCTTATCAAACCATAATAAAAATATTGTTGATCGTTATATTTGAAACAAAGTACTGTTATGGGAGTCTTCACTTAGTGGTAATTAATATTACAAGGTTTTTCAATATTTCTCATCAATTCCTTTCATATTGCATATCGCTTGTTATTTTCAGCTCGTTATGTACTATCGTTACTTGCAAAATAATTTAAATGGATGGAACTAAAACCATTAGGCGAAGAACACATGACTATGAATTCAACGAAAATAGTCAGTTCAAACGAAAAGTGAGTGTTTTTTTACAGAAGAATACTTTTCCACTCTTTCTGTTTACGTGCTTACTTATGTTTGTGGATATTTCTTGCTCCTTAAGTGTAGTAAACAAGTAAATGTTCCCCTGACACGTAAATTAAGTGACTCATTCACTAGCTACACATTTGTCTATCCAATTCCCAGTCTTTTTCAGTGCGGAGACTGGTAATACCACTCTACTTATCGAAGTACTGTAGGAAAAAGGCAAACGAACCAAGATGTGTTATTTGTCTATGAGGTCATTAACTATTAAACTGAGTCATTTCATTAGATGTAAACTGTCTGCTTGTAGGTCCGCCCAATAACTGTGATCACTGTCTAGAGATATTAAGTGTTTTTGGTGAGAGCCAGTTACAATAGAACTTATGGATTCACTCTTTATCTTCCTCTAGATCTTGAGTTCAATCGTCTCTTTATATACAACTTTTTATCAGGATTCCAAAGGCCATATTCTCAGTGCCTGATTCTTTAACTATCATTGTTACTACCATTGTCTTGACTCCTTTATTATTCAGCTTGTTAATTTTGTATCATCATAATAATGTGCTAAAACAACTTGAACTAACGCACACTTGTACCAGGCTCTAATTCGGTCACTACCAACTAGCTGAAAGTGGGATTCAGACTTTCGACCAAGTCGTCAGTAACTAAATGTTTTAATCACCAAGCCACTGTTTCAAGTTAGGCTCAGAAACGCATCTTAAAAATTTTTGTGGTTAGTTTTTGTGATTTTCTACCGCCATTTACTAGAAACTAAAGTTGAACTATCCTGTACTCATCTTCACTACTGGTTGAACATATGTAATTAAAGTAAAGCCGCTCATCCGTTTTCTTTTCTGATTTTTGCTTGACAGCTGCTCACACAATTTTGTACTTTACGCATCCATCATTTACGGTTAAACGTTTTTGAGGCTTTTTTCATTTTTTAAAATTACCGATTGACTCAAGATGATATGGCTCAAAATCGTTTGTATCGGCGAAAATAAATTTACTTTACCTTTTCCCAAAGATTCCACAAATTTTATTGTTCAGTACTTTTGTCTCTTGTTTTTAATCCTTCATTTTTCTTCTGCTAACTGCTGTTGGTGTTTGTTGCTTTCTTGTCTTTGTTCTTTTTTTTTCGTGTTCATGCTATATGAAATTGCGGATTAGTAAGAGGTTTCATCAGATTCTACGTTGCTTTTGTTAGCTTTCCTATTCGTTCTACTTTTTTAACACCAAACTTTCACTCCAACTGATTTTTTTGTTACTATCATTTGTCATCAGTCAGTCATGTCATTTGTCGTATTAGTAGTTGATCCAGTTGTAAATGTTTTCTCAGGATAAATCTTTTTAAATACAAGATTTATCCTACCACTTAACGTATCAAAGTATTTTTGTAAACTTAATGTAGTTTAACGATTAAGGCTCATATTTTACTTCGAATGACCGCCTTTTTTGACTTCTATAACATCTCAAATAAATGTAGATTTTTACTTATTTCAGTAGAGTATCAAGTGATTTCGGCAACGTTCAAACATACTGAGCTAAAACTACTCATCCAAATTCTCATCACAGCTTAGAGAGTAAATGGATATAGTGATAGTAAGGAGTACTGTAGTATAGCAATTAGCTCTACCATCAGACTGCCTAAACTGAATTAGGTGAAGTAGGACTCGAGCTTGTAGTCTAGTTGTGTAAAATTGAATTCATTGACCAATTATAGGAAGCTGTAACTCAGACTCTTTACATGTCACCAATAAGTCATAGGCTTGGCACCCTTCCCATCTAACAAGTTTTATCGTCAAATCATGTATAATAATATAAATATTCCGGAAATAATTGTGGAACTCATACCAGTTTACAGGCATTATCAGTTTGACATAGGTAGTAATATTACATGCAGAAGACATATAGGATATTAGATTGTTTGAAAGGTTCTAGTTCGAAAATTATTTAGGCAGTACATTTTTTTCACATATATTACAGCAATAAAAGGCGTCAGCCGGAAACCACTGACTATTTTTAAGTAGACATCCTGTCTATATATGAAGGTATCTTTAAGGTCACTTCCAGTGCCATAACGGACTGAGTGTAGTTATCTACAGCTAGAGAAAATAAAATAAAAACAGAATGTGTGGGATAAAAAGCGATAATTACTACGATAGGTCGGCCAGCCAGTTAGGTCCGCCATAATACGCGTATCACGTTATTTTATGATATGCTGTTCCGGTTAGATATCATTCAAATTAGTTAGGGTTAAAACGGACGGTGTTAGTGTAAGGTGTCATCAGGTAGAGAAATTCAATTAGTTTCTATAATCTCACTTGTGGAATGGAATATACTTATAGGTGTAAGAACATTTAAAGCATTTCCGGAGGAGGAGTAAGCGTTGATGCAGCGAACAAGGGATGGGAGCGATTTGATTTATATGAATAATCCATTAAAGTCATATCCTCCTTATTCTTTGAGATATATCCTGATGTTTACTTATTTGCTTATTATTCTCGTCATAACTTAGCGAAAACGAGAAACTGAAACAGATAATACAAACTCAGTGGAAATTTTAGGTGAATCTCATGTAATATTCACATCAAAAAATGCTGGAAATAATCATTATTGGAGTCAAGATACTTCAAGACATAATACAAAATGTTTTGTAAGTTTTGTAATGATATATCGTTCTCAAAATACAGTTTCGCAGTTTATATTTATTCTTTTGAAACACTTATTTCCAACGAGATTACTGGTATTTTACATTCGTCCACCACTTAGCCACCGATTTGTTTTTATTTTTTGATGGACAACGTTACATTAAACCTGAAAAATATCTTTCATTTTTTAAAATAATTTGCTATTTGATCCTTTCACCAACAACACTACAGATAAAGATTAAAGTTATACCTCGAACTGGATACCATGCTATATCTTATAAGTGATTAACGCTTTCGATTTGTACATATATATCATATATTGATAAATCCAAGAGCTAATCACTTAATTGTTATTTGCTAGCGATTACTGAGTCTATTGTCCGAAACGTGAACTGTCGTGTGCTCAAATATTGCCTTATTTAGTGGTAATTTATTAAAATACTCATTAAATTAACCAGATGGTACTAGAATTCATTCAGTTGTGTTCATTTGCAACATAACTAGGAGAGAAATCATGTACGAAAACATGATGTATGATGGGAAAATTGAAAGGAAAGCATAATGCTACAAAAGTAAAGAAAGGTGGATAGTAAAAGTAGTTTTATATTTAAATTCTCCGTCTCCGACTTTCTAATATGACGTGGATTCTATCCTAAGTCAACAGCTCTTCATGAATTCCTCAATAATTGATTTTATTTCTTAATTTAAATATTCTTCCTCATTACATCTATCCCGTCTAATATCAGTCGTTTAAGTGTACGGGTATCCTATTCAGTCGTAGCTCACAATCTCGTCTACTAGTTTATCTGAACTTCTCCCTGGTGTGTTCGCGGCAAGTCACTACTAAGGAGTCTTATACAAGGACGAAACGACTGTCCGATGCCCCCCTGGTTTTCAGTAGAACCCTGACTAGGATTAATCTGTGAGAAATACGACTTGCAAATCAAATTAATCTCCATGACACCTCTTCAACTAATTATGGTTACGCTTTTGCATTTAATACTTGGATAGCTTCCCATTTTTTTGTCTAGTTGTGCTTAATATAAAGAAAAAAAAACGTACTAATCCACCTTCGTTAATATTTTTTTAAACGGTGGTCAAATCAAAGGTAAGCAACAAAAAATAAAATGTAACTGAAATTAAGTCATTTTTAAGTATTGATTTGTCCATTGTTGAATATCGTTTTCATTATTTCGTTTCTTAAACAAACCAAACAATGACTTAGTAGTTATTGCCATTGAATTTCGACCATTACGGCCAGCAGGTCCTAACTCTTTCTCGACTTACTTCACTTTGGGTTGCTGGGTAGTCCCGCTAACCGTCTTCTCTCTCTATCTCTATCTCTTACACACAAAAGTTCGACTCAAAGCCAAACACATTAATCTGTATGAACCATGAATAATTCTACTATGTATACACACATTATCCATGTTTTCAAAACTCAGTAAGATTACTGCACAGTATTGATAATGATTGGAATTGTTATTATTTGATTTCAAGTTATTTTTATCAGCACTAAAGTTCTCCTCCTTTTTTGCACATAGTTTCCAAATGGAACTTATGGTGAATCAAGACTTGTTGAGAATATACAAAATAATAATAATAATAACAATAGCAGTGGAAGACGTTTTTTGTCTAGTCCACAAAATGGACACAGCAAAGAAAAGCTTCCTAATTGCACTATTGGACGTACAACAGCTGCTGAAATCCATTCTTCACTACCGTCACTGCCTCCTAGCTTGAGGGAATCGGTTAGTTTTCTTTTTGAATTATTTTTTTAATGCTTGGTTTTGTTTCTCTTTTTGTGACTACGACAATCTATGATTCTTTATATGAGCATACTCTTCCGATGTGTTTTTTACCATCAAATAATTCCAAATTGTCTCTCGTTTGAAATGATATGGAATCCAGTTCTTCATTTGTATTACGCATATCAAAATTCATTGGTTTCTTAATGTACTTTGAAAGCAAATAAAATTAAATTGTGTTGGGTAAATACTACACAAACCAATGAGTTATGTATCAGCTTTTTAGTAACAGAGATTTGATATTATTGTTTATAAAGGTCTCTACCATTAGTTTTAAAATCTTATGAATTCAGGTGAATGCTCTTTCAAATCTTTCCAACTCTAGAATATCAGGATAGGATTGTCAAGACTATATCGCATGATTGCTCTCGAATAATTAATGGATGTTAATCAAATTACTAATATGGTTAACTGAACCAACTACAGCATAAAGCTATCTAGCTATCATCTGTTGACTTAGATAGGAAATGGACTGGGTAATCATTAATTAAATGTTTATTAAATTAGAAAGTGGATGCGCGCAAATTTTAAGTTGTAATCAGTTTTATGTTCAAGGTTTCTAATTCCCTGTTCATTTTGTCTTTAACACTTACCAGTCAAACTCTATCTGCTTACAATGTAATCTAATACATATACCAAATGCAGACTGGTGTACTACTATAATTCGATATTATCTAGCTGTACAATCGAAAATCTATGAGACAGTGTTTGAATCTACGATCCAGTGATAAAGGTGAATGAATCCATTTACTGCTAAGCTAACGTAACCATTTTTCTACAGGTCTTAAGCAAATAGTCATTCGACACAACTAAGAATTCTCTCTCTATTTTAACACTTCTAATCAATTCACTTGGACATTCTTAAATTATTACATAGTTAACAATAACACCAACCTTATTCATCAAGAGTACCTCTTAGTTTATATCTCATATTTTGACACCAATATATGCAAAACTCAACAATTTTTCTATAAATTTATTTAGTTATTTACTGTCTAAGTTTTGTTACTTTTCAATCATGGTCACCACCTTACCTTTTATATATATATATATAGTCTATTACATGATAACATATATTTATATGTAAGCCACACAAATCACCATAGAATTAGACATTATGCTGGTTGACATTGATTTGTAGTTGTTCTTTTTAGTTACTATCAGCACTGGTCATGAATTAACGCTTTATGACTAATACTATTACTACTATCATTATTATCTTTGGTAGTATTAATGACGTTACTGATAATATTGTTTCTATTCACCAAGCAAAAGACTCTCATTTTCTCACAGCATGCCGCATCAATCAATTATATATATAACTATTTATTTATGTATCCTCGCTATAAAATTAATTATAATCTATGTCAGAGTTAAAACAGAGTAAAGGGTGTAGTCATCTACAACTATTGCCAATGGATATATTCACATTTGTATTTGTTGATCGTTCTCATTTGTTCTTCAAGCAAACAAACATTGTCTATTTCCGCCTTCCTTCTTTCGGACAGATAAATTTATTATTTATACTGATCAATGCTGAATTACTTAAATTCCCTCCATTTTTTCTTTCTATACTGAACATAATCACAAAGTTAATTAAATGGTCAAATATTAATAATAACCATCATTAAGATTTAATTATTTATATCTAGTCTATTACCTGATCTGTTGGTGGAGTTAGGAGGAGATTAAGTCTAAATAGGGATACAATAATAATTATCCTATTGCTTTTCAAAGAATAAATATTCAGCTAATCGACTAACTTTTAACTTAAATACGCAAACGAATTTTTATTTCATGATTCTAATAATTTCTCCCATAGCATAATAACCTGATATGATGTCTTAGAGGTTCTGTTGTGAGCCTGAATTACTTAGACAGTATAGTTCTAGTGAGTGGAACTGGTAGTAAAATTCACATTCTTCTCTGAACACATTGAATAATAATATGAAATTGTTTGGAATGTGTTTCACACTTTCTAAATCCTGTGTTTATTTATACCAAACTTTTCTTATGTGATTATATAAAATAATGTGGTTTAATGTATTAACCAATACACTCGTGTAGAAAGACTTATTCACTTAGATAGGTTAGTGACTGACGAAATCTCGGCACATATACACAGGATCTGTCCAGTTTTCTTGCTATAAGTGACTCAAGGTGCATACCTTTAGACAAATAGATAGCCTAGTTTTTCGTCCTATAATATTCAGCGGTTGTAAAACATGGTAACTGGAGATAAATGACACCTACTTGTTTTAGATATCTGTAAATCATTGTTCTATGTATAGTTCAACGGTTAAGTGAACAATCTTGCACCTTTCTTCTTCTTGGTCTGTCTATTGAAGTATGATAACTTGTGCATTATTACGAAGTTTTACACTAATAATTTTTATGTGTCTCAATATTCCTTGAAAAATCGTCATTTGATGTATTTTGTATTATATATTTGTTGTTAGCAGGTTCTCTGCTAAGTATGAGATTAATAATGGGTAACTCCATCGGTTCTTTTTTTCAACTGACCTTATTTCAACTAGTAAAGTTTTTTAATGGATGCAGGCGCATTTTTGTGAAAATACATTCGTCGATCAATTTAGTTGATATACGTGCACAATCTCAAGGACTTGGTAACTTCTTATCCTTCGAACGATACTTTTCATACTTGATCATACACAAGACTGCTTATTTTGCAAAAATGACTTCTCAGTTCTCCTACTAAGAAAATACTAGTTCTTAAATGCTACAATCTATGGCTAACAAAAATCAAAAATTCATTCACAAATCTTAGTACATTAATTTTAATTTAATAAACTCAGTTCTCTTTTATAAATGGAACATATTTTAGAAGTTTCCAACCTAGTTTACACTGTACTACGGAATTGTTGTATAACACTAAGTTGTACCATTAATAGATAAAACTTATTATGTAATTTCCTTGGGGAATATGTCACATCTATTACTTCATATTTCTCATAAAGAAGTTGTGGTTAGAAAACTTTCTTTGCTTATTTAAGTTTTCCATACATTAACTTATAGAGGATGATTTCATGCTTACGAAATCGATATATTCTACAGTGTTTATGCTGTACTCTAAAATGATGTCATCACTGATTGTGCATTTTGCTTACACATTGTGCTTCATATTATTACAGTCTTTATGATGAATTTTCAGTCTAAATAATTTATGAATTACGTCTTTTTGAATAACATGTTTTTATTTCTTGTCGAAATTCTATCTCTATTTTGTATCAATTTCATAATTTCTTTAAAATGGTCTGCATTCTGTAATTGTTTTCAGAATATTATTATTATCTGACTGCTTAGTATCACTGAATTTCCTATCGTCAAATCTGTCCACACTTATTAGACCATGGATTATTGAAGAAATTGTCCTAAAATATCAAATATTGATGTATTTTTATACATAATAAGCAAAGTTTTTCGGTGATATTGTTTTCTTTGAAATAGATGGTTTCATTGTTGTTCTGGATAATAATTATACTGCCACAATTTTCAGTTACTTCATAAATATTATATCAGTTCATTCGTAAAGGCTTATTCTATGGTCGGTTGTCTTCGTAGTCTTTTTTTGTCCTCATTTACTCTTACGTTCTTGTTGATTGTATTATTCGTTCGATCTATGACCTTGTTATTGATTGATCATCATAAAGGTGGTATCGTTTAAAATTATCTCATTGCATTGTATTCACCTAATTTAAATTCATTTGTTAATGCATTAAATACAAGTTAGTCCATTGAATTGCATCCAGTGTATGTTTATCAATTTAATAGTTGAATTCATGAGTCAGTTGAAGCTAGACCACCATCGAAAACCTGTAAGCGCCGGACAGTCGTTTCGTCCTAGTATGGGACTCCAGGCAGTGCGCATCCACGATCCCGCCCCGCGAGATTCGAAGCCAGGACCTATCGGTCTCTCGCGCGAACGCTTAACCTCTAGACCACTGAGCTGCCATCCAGTGGTGCTAATGTCTCTTTAACCAAACCACGAAATTGCGCCACCGTTCACCATTGTCTTCGATGAGTTACCATCTCACGACAGAACCAGTTAAACTCCACTGGTTACGGTTTCTCACTATAACTCTAGGAAATACCTCTTGGAAACAGTCACTAGTGGGGATATGATGATTATAACCTCGCGGGGCGGGATCATAGATGCGCACTGCTGAGGAGTCCCACACTAGGACGAAACGTCCATACAGTGCTTCCAAATTTTCCATGTTGATCTGGCTTCAATTGACTCACGAGTTCAACTATTAAATTACTATAATATCCACAAAACCTCTCTCTGAGTATGTTTATCAATTTATTTTCTGTAAAATGTGACCATTAAGGGTAGAAGATACTGGTAAGTTACTAGTAATTGATCACAGATGTCCTAGAAATATTGCTCGCATCTGCTGGTATCAACGGGTAAGTCATAGTGAGGTTAGATGCAGGGTATTAGGGAATGATGGTAAATCAGTTGGTGAGGTTGTAAATCTTCATCGACTAAAATGGTTGGGCCACGTATTATGCATGCCCAACCATCGGTTACCACGACGCGCAATTCTGACTAATATTGGAGACGGATGGAAGAAAGTTAGAGACGGCCAAACCAAAACTTGGCATCAGTCCATAAAGTCACTAACTTCTAGTCTGGGCCATGTTGATAGATACAGACTACTTGGTTGGGGTCCGTGTGACTATGGTTGGAGACTAGGTGACATGGCCCAGAATCAATCACAATGGCGTAGGTGCATACACTCTCTTTCTCCCCTTAAACTGTGAGATTAAACTTACTTCATACCTTTCGTTCTACGAACCAATTCTTTCTTCCTGTACTATATCCTCGTACACAATCTTTCTTTTATACATTACTGCCATTGAAGTGACTGATTCTATGAATTTGTTGTTCATCTTGTTGTGCTAATGAGGTGTGGCAGCTTAGACCGATGCATATATGTGCCTGGTCTTACGTTGTAGATGACTGACCGACTGTAGAAGTCAATAATAAATCGGTTGTAAAGTGCGTTAACTTGCTAAACACTTCTAAACACCTATCCAACTCTGGCGGGTAATATATATATATATATATAGCTTGGTTACTAGATTATCTTATCAAGTCGAGTGATTTAACCCTACTAAAAGATTGTCTAGAAATCGCGCAATAAGTTTAACTGAACAACCCAAAAGTAAAAGAATATGATATTTTAGCACAAACGTGGTTTTTTTTAACAGCCCTTATCAATATTACGAAATCCTCGTCTAAAAAAGGAAACCTAATTCTTTGCTGTGACATTAAGAAATGATATTAAAATTTATTATTAGTGTTATTATATCACTACATTATTTTTATTTACCAGTGTACAGAGTTGTAGAAAAGAGGGGACTTTCTCACTGTAAATCAGATTTTTTGTGTCTTTCTGTTAGTCGGAAAATCAAAATATTTCGTTTTCATCAACAATTCTGTTAGTGATACTTGATCATTTTCACTATTTTGTTAACCGAAACAGGAAACAAATTGATTTTGATAATACTTATGTTTTGGTGGTCATATTTCACATAATTAGTGTTTCAGCTTGTGATATCATAAACAGTTATACTATATAAGGAGTCATAGTCAACATCATGGAATGATGTTGGTTAAACTACCATTAAAAGCTAGGAAACATTGGACATGTGTTTGCTCCGAACATGAAACTCTTCAATTTTATGAGGTTTCAACTCCACCAGGTGTTAAACTTAAGACTTTCAATTTTTGGTGTGAGAACTTAATCTTTAGACCAATGAGTCAGCATTCGGTCGCTTAGATGTTTACCTCCAATCAGTTCGCGATATTGTGCACTCATCTTCTATTGTCTGTAGTGGACAACTGCCTGACACGACATGATCGTACTTCATTGGTCACGGATTGTCATTTGAACTCATTGAATCACCTCTCGAAATAAGTCACTCATGAGCATATGATCATTAGTATTATATTAGGTGTTTTTAGAGATCAGTTCGTAAAGTTAAGTATAAAAAACAGACTATTTTGTGTGTCTGTTTTTTTTCATATCAGCACATTATGCAGGAGTCATGAACTTTCAATATCAAATAGTAGGTGCAAATGATTAATATTATTTCAATTTTGTAATACTAGTGAATTGAGTGCATTTAACCAAGTACTTTCATTATATTTGTTTATTTTTGCATTGGGTTAATGAATAAATCTATGTGTTTGACATTTCAATCTGATATATTGTAACTAAGTAAATACTTTTTGTCTAGTGTTATTTTTGGCAACTTATCGTAATGTATTCGTTTTGTGTCAAAGGGTGGATGTTGCTTTAAAACACGTCACGAAATTCTCTCATACCGTCAGCATGTACTTATACACAACATCTAATGAAAGTATCATATTTACTGCTCTCTATTATGCCCCGGAAAGATGCCTATATTTGTAGTAAATCCCTACTGTTTTATATTCACCATAAAAGGATTGTAAAAATGACTCTATATATAAATATATAAGATATTTACAATGACACTGTTTTGATTATTTAAGTTGAGATGCAATTCTTTACAGTAAATAAAAAATAAACATAGAGTCATTTGTTTTAGTTTAAACACCGTCAGAGTTTTCTGTTAAGCTGTCATCATCAGTAGTAGTGTGGTGTATGCTACTCACGTTTGCAGATATATGTAGTATGTAACACCCGTCGGAAGTGGATTGTCTGAGAACAGAAGGTTGAGAAGATTGAAATAACGAGAACAGAGAAGGAAACTGAAAGCAATCATAATAACAACAGGAATGAAGAAACATTAATGCTTGTAAGAGACAATTCAAAGATGTTCAAATTATGTAATTGATGTATGATTTGCACATTGTACTAAACCACTGAGTGGTCGTGCATTAAACAGTAAATTGGTTTTCCCCACTTGACTTCTTTGTTCACTACAGTAGTAGTATAGAAGTTGAATTAATAAATTCATAGGCAAAACACTATTCTAGATCAAATGATTGCATGTTTTAGAATTCTGTTCAATAAAAACAAAACATCCTATTTTGTTGATTTGCCATGTTTTTTTTTCAAGCATCAAGATTATTGAGTTGTATAAATTAAATAAACTTGAAAGTCATGTGAATATTCCTTCTCTTTATTATTATGATTATTGTTTTTTCTCAGGAACGCATGTTGCATGTTCAACGTTGGATAAATAGTATCCCACCTGATTTACCATCCTGGATACAAGTATCACATAATAAAATAATCCCGGTTACTAATCCACATGAATCTTATGCTGAAGTAGAAGATTCAATCATATCTGAAATTCCAGGTAAGTTTGATTGAACGCCTTAAAGTAGGTAGTGATTGGTCATACTTAATTATTGTTTCATTGCAAATTGATCTCAGTAGATTATTTATCATTAGAGTTATAATATAACTTATAAAAATCTTTATACATAGAAGTGAATGAATGATACACATGTCAAACTAGATCAACTCAGTGAATATCGAAAAAAATGAGAAAACGGAGTTGGTGTGGAAAATGTGATGTACTTGCATTATACGTTTCGAACAATCTGGTCACACATATACTAGTCAAGGCATTTTATATGAAAATTGATAAAGATAAATTAAATGGAAGTTTAAATGAACATAAAGTAACAATTGTAGATAAAAGAGAGAGGAAATTAATATAATATGGAGAGAATAGAAACAATAGAACCATATGGTTTGCCTAAAATACACAAACCTGGCCTACCTGTCCGACCAATTCTTGATATGTCCGGATCCCTTTACCACTCTATAGTAAAGTGACTGGCTGATCTGGAACCCACAGGAAAACGTATTTGCATAGATTCCTTTCATGATATTTTTGAATTCATTGATTACATAAAAGAATTGAATGTACATGACAAACTTATCCTTTCACTTGGTGTCGAATCACCATTCACTAATGTTCCACTCACAAAGACCATCAGTTTCATCTGCGAATACATAAGTGATAATGAGTTTAATATCGAACTACCGGAATTTTGTTTAAAGGAATTGCTATTACGATGCACTTGTAATGTACAATTTACACTGAACGACGTATTTCATAGGCAAAAGGATGGGATAACAATAGGATCCTGTCTTGGTCCGTTATTAGCAGATAGTATTATGGGCAGTCTGGAAAACAATCGACTTAAAACGGCCATTGACAAATTCCACTTGTATAAAAGGTATGTGGCTGATGTTTTTATCATTCGTGACAATAAATATGATTTGAATCGTTTTCTGCAGACATATAACAACTGCCACTTGGCAATAAATTTCACACAATAAGTTGAAAACAAAGTATTCACTTTCTTGATGTCAAAATAACAACGAAACACGACGTAACCGTAAGAAGATCCATCTACAGGAAATGTTTGTTGAATGGACAGCTGTCACTTTTTCACAGCTGGGTCCTTATTAGTCGGAAAAGAAACTTAAGTGTATCCCTCGCCACACGAATATGAAGAATTTGTAGTCCCGACGTCATGGATAACCGACCGAGCCTCCTTAAGAAAATACTTATCATAAACGTGTATCTATCGATGTTTGTTGATAAGAATATACAACTCAAACCGCCTAAAGCATAAATAACCTCCATAGAAAATAAAACTTTTCTTATGAACTGTTAGGACGGCTCCCGAGAACTACGACGAAGCCTCCGGAGGTTCTAAATGAACGAAGAGGCTCCATCCAACCAGAATGTGGTGGAGCTTCCTAGAATATCAACGTGACATGCTACTATTGGTCAGTAGCATAACATGCCTCTTTGCGGATTGGCTGTATTTAATGTTGATATAACAAACTCTAATATCTATAAATACCGATGATTGTGACTGTTGGGGTTATATAAATTCGAGTGCCGTAGTTGTATACTGTACTCTGCGTTAATCGAGTAGCGAACTTAACACGAACATTGCTTTCAAAGGTGATATATCTGCGGATGTCCTCATCAGAAGAATTTCCGAATCTTTCAATCTAACGTTCTTCTCAATAACTTTGCGAATAGTGTTCTCCAGTCGACAAATGTTCACCAATAACCTTAAGGATAAATTATCTCATTTGACCGAATCTATGTGCGTTTATTAATTTATCTGTTCATGTGGAGCCAGGTATTCCGAAGAATTCAAAAACATCATCCAACTTTGCTGAAAACCGATGAAAAGGGCTCAATAAGAAGCTCAACAATCGTAAACCTTTTGAACACAGGTCATTCAATCAAAACAGATTTTGTGCTCAAGATCATCTAAAAGGTTAGTAGAGGGCTTCCAAAGGCATTTATATCCCATATTCCTAACATCCCCGAAGCACTGGTTATAAATCTGCAAAAAACCAAAATTATGTGTCCAAGAAAAACTTATACAACTTCTGCCGTGGTTTTACTTTCATAATCTTTTCTTTCTTCTTCATACTTTTCTTCCTTAACAGCTATCTGCTTCCCTTCTGTCTTCTCTATAGACCTTTTGCCCTCCGATTGATTTGTGTCTTCCGGATTTTAGTTCATTTCAGTGTTAACACTTTTCATACTGAGTCGTCCTTCCAATTATAATCCCTTATCTAATTTCATAATGAATATCCAAGCTCTTAACAAAATTATCATTAGTTTCCTTGATAAGGAGAATATTTTTATACTTTCGCTTATTCCCCTTCACTGTTACCATGTTTAGCAGAATTTTATCATCACTATTGTCGTAAATATTATCATTTTGAAAAATAAGCATATATTTGTGATTGTACAGCTTTGAAACGAATTTACAGAAAAATAACTCTTCGTTGAAACAATCTTTCTTATCTATTGAATAAGAATTTATCTCATTACCCTAGATAATAAAATGTCTTAGAAATTACCAGGGTGTCTCCGAGGTTACGCCGATTTGTTTCTGTACACCTAAAGGGGGTTTGAATTTATGAATAACTAAGGCTTTTATAAAACTAAGTATTCGTCCTTGACAATTTCTATACAATATTTTCAAAACTGTATTTATGTCAATTCTATGCTCCGTTTCAATTATGTGCTCTACTGTCGATGGACATGGTTTTCTACTTGTCACTTTTATTAAAGGATTTAGTTCTGAAGCCGTCCAGGCGCATCCAACATAACCTTTGATTGTATTGTTCAATTACTCCTCTCTATGTGTGTGTGTCCACACAAACATGTGAATTAGTAAGTGCGGTAGGATTTGATATAATGTCTAAGTCAATTTGAAATCATGGACTTAGTCCTTTCAACCACAACCAGTTGAGCAGCATAATATGTTTTCTCGATTGCTGCTTTTAGTCTATTCTATCCAATTCTCCGCTAAACGATAATGATATATAAAAACTTTTCTCTTCAGCAGGTCTAAAAAGAGGTTTTAGTGTTGACTGACTTTTTTTTCCACCTATTTATAAACTTTAGTGGATAACTGTTTGATATTAACGTTTTAGCCAGCAGTTTCGTATCTTCTTCCAACTTATCTGTAGTGGATATTCTTTGAGTCTTATTGGAGGAGCACTCTACCAAGACTCGCTTGTGTTGCAATGAACAGAAACTATAGAGATTTCAATATTGACCAGTTTAGGTTGACTTCTTATAAACTAACCGCTTTGTAGTTCCATCCTCCCTTCGAATCAAAAGTATGTTTAAAAAGGGCAATCGGTTATTTTTTTTTTCCTCATGTGTAAGTACGATATCATTCTGTACGCTGCACTCAACGAATTAGCCAATAAGCTGGTAGTCAATGATAGTGAATGAAAGGATCTTGCTGTAATAAAAAAATCATCGGAATTCGAAAATACGAAGATACTGATATTTATGTTCTTGTTTTAATTTCCTTTAGGATAGTACACGCCCATTGTTGCACCAGAGTCGAACTAAACAAGATGAATTAGTAGGCCCAGGTTTTCATATTTCCCGATGAATTTATGACTGATTTTATTTTTTGACGAAAATTACCTTCATATAGAGTAATAGATATTGGTTAGACATCAACAGAACATGAGCTAATTATTTTGTTAGCAGAATACAGTCCTGACTATTTCATACTCTCCGATCAGGTTCAACTAGGAACACACTGACTGGTCTATTTCCAGCTAATTAGGACTAGAATAGAAAAGATCCTAAAAGAAGACCGTTTTGTTAATTCTATATAAATTTAAGTATCTTCACTAAGATATCTTTGTTGTTTGCGTCTATTTGAATTAATATTATCATTTTTTGATTTGAAACTGGTCGATTGAAATGTAGCATTTAAGGCATAAACAATACATTTCATTTGATTTATTATTTTCTCGAATAAATTATCCTCCATTTTAACGTTTCTACACTTAATTCAGTCGATTATTCCATCATGCATGATAAATGATTAAACAATTTATTATCAACTGTCTGAAATCTCTTCACGATATATATCTTCCCAGGTTACATCTTACTAACGATGAGTTAGATACAGCTTACTTTTTTCTAATATTCTCATTGTTTAGTTCATACATATGTAGATAAATAGAAATAACTTGGAACATCGTGTTTTTTCGTTTCTATATACAGCATACCATTAAAATATTGAAGGAATTTTAATATAAGGAATAAAAAAGATTAAAATACCAGCAGTGTGCTAACGAACTACGAATAAACAATCATGTTATAACGGAAAATAACCAAAAAAATGAAAAGCACAAAATTATAATGATACAATCTTAATAGTGTAATACAATTTCATCTATTACACTTTAATCATTGACTGTCGTTTCTCTTTCTTCTAAACTATACATTTTAAACTCTGATAACTATCACTACATGTTAAGTTCTATTCCTTATGATTGAATTTCATAATGTTTGCTAATTTTAAATAATTCAAAACTAACTATCTGATTTATATTTCTAACAAGAAGAGTAATGAAAAAATTCCCCAACAGTAGCTTAATAGTTTAGGAACTCTATTTGACTTCCAATCAATAAATCACATGTTGGAACCCCGCTAAATTCAGGAGGCCGAGTAGAATCACTGCTTCTCTCCTTGTGACTAAATGAATATGTACATGGTAAATGTATTGCAATAATGTATCAATTTCAACTCAAGATTTTCATAGTTTGTAAAATTTCGAGCAATTAATATTCAACTTGAGTTATAGCTTATCTCTATATTATGTAATGCCAGATGATTTATTGGTTTGTTACATGCTTTTTCACATTAGTAAACTATTTGCGATCGGTGGCCCAGTAGTTTAGACCTCCGTTTCTCAGCCACTAAATCATAGGTTCAACTCCCTCTCAACCTACTTTAGTTCAAAGAGCCAGGTATTATAACTAACTCGGACATAAAATGCGACTCAAAACCAATTGCACGAATTTGTAAGCCTGGCAAATTGATTAAAAAAAAATCACTTTTACGAGAGATTCAAAGAACATGATGAAAAAAAGAGCTAACTTCTGTTCTCTCTTCCATAGGTATCAAATTTTTAGTCAGAAAACGCTGGATCACAGTTATAACATTTGTTTGGTATTTATTCTCGTTTATTAATCATATGCAAGACGAAACTCTCTCTATAACTTTATTTTTTATATGTATACGTGTTTATTTGTTTTTTATTGTTTTCAAGATACATCAGATCTCGCTTCTAATCATGATATTTTAGACTGTAATCCTGGCTGTAATTTGAATTCTGTCAATCAAACTATGGATTATTATTCTAAACAACCAAATAATCATTCATCTAATCCTTCTACACAAAATCATTATCTAAAATTCCTGGCGTTTCAGTTGCTCCTCCTTTACAACCACCTCCGTTTCCACCGTTACCACCACCGCCTATGCCACCTCCGACACATTCACAATCATCTCTTCCACTTCAATTGCATTCATCTGTTCAACATGGGCATAGCAGTAATAATAATAATAATAACACTTCTTTAGGTATAATTCCTTCAAAATTTTCTACTATACCAAGTGGTAGTACAGTTAACTCTCATCAAAATTTACTTACTCCTATACAGTCAAATCAGGATATGAACCTATCGAATCATCCTCATCAACATCCGCATCAATATTGTATGAATAATGATCATAATCAATTGAATTATTCATCTAGAGATACATTACTAAGTCATCATATTGATGGTGAACCAAATCATACTAATAATAGTATTCACAATAGTCAAAGACATCCTATTGGCGATTCCATGAATTCAGGTGGACGATTATTCAATGATATGGAAATTCAAATGATAGTTAAGGTAAGTGGACTTTTCGTTGTTATTTTTTCCTCTCACTGTTTTCAAATAGTCTCTGTTTTTCCTTTTTTTTGATTTGTCCTGTGGTTCATATCAATGTTTTTTCTCTCTTTCATATAATCACATACGAAACGGTCACTCTAACTATTATTCACAGTGTATTTGTTTGCTTTATTCTCTCAAATGTTCCAGTTATATAACAATTACTTACTTAGTTGTGGTATCGCACTGTAGAATTTATTTTAATATGGACACATTCTCTATTATCTATTTTTCGGTCAACAAGTATAAGTCGTTATCAAGCAAACCCGTGATAAACCTGTTTTTTCATGATTGGTGATGATGGTACAAAACGAAAACTTGAAAACTAAAAAAAGCTTAATCACTAATAAAAAAACTTAATAAATCTTTGTGTTTAGAAAATCAATTGTATATATGTGAGAAAAACAATGACTTCGGTAGTGGTGAAATTAACCAATCCGTTATGAATATCGTGGATTGATTGAAGTTAGATATTAAGACCATTGGATTTTAGCTCAGTGGTCTAGAAGTTAGGTATTTGCGCGTGAAACCAAAGACCCTAGGTTCAGTTTTTGTACTCAAAGTTGTGGATGGGCACCTCTGAGGGGTCCCATATTAGGAAGATGGTTGTCTAACATTGATCAGTTCATCATTTCTATGAAACTCGACAATCTCCACAACCTTATACTGACTATTATGATTGGTCTATGAAATGAGCTAAAGGATATGTTATAAACTGAGTGGTCATGAATGCTGGATATCTATTGATCTGGCCTAAACGCTGGATTGCTTGCTTTTAAATGAGATCGGAATAGAATGGATACTTTATTGGAAGTGGATCAAATAGCTCAACAATTGTTATAGCAATTAACTTGTAGCCATTAATTCACAGGTTTGAACCACAATTTATCCACTCTTATATGGGCAACCGGACAGTCTCATTAGCACTCGCATTTAGTGTGTGGATTGACTCCCATTTTTTCTTGTTGCCAACATATGTGAATAAAATTATCTCAATGGCTGTTAAAGATAATTATCAATCGCTAGCTGTCAAAAACTATTGAAAAATTCTGTTTCTTCTTGAGGAGCTTAAAAAGGAAATGGATTTGAAAATGGTCTTGGCTACCGCGGAGCTTGACCAGCATGCTTAGAGAACAACTGATTAAGGCTCGGTACATGGGATTTTTGTAAGTGATTTTAGATATTCTAGATCCGTATTATAAGGCCTTATCACTGGCAAAAAAAATCTATCGGGCAAGGCAAGATATAGCGTTTCTTGGTCCGACGTTTTCTAACCCCCTACTGTTGTAAAAAAACGGCATCTCTACAGATCTTGGTTATCTGAGGGTAATAATCTCTTAAATTTAGCCTTGACAGTTATTATATACACATTTAGAGTGTGAACTATGTCTGTAATAGAACTTGTATTAGAAACTACTGATACCATTAGTAATCCAAACAATTATGCAATCAGTTATACGTGCATACAAACATGTATATGAATATGTTATAGTCATTTTTTAAGTATATAATACTGACATAATTTCTGATACACACAAGCTTCTCTTATAAGTTCATCACAATGTTTATTTAATGTTTCATTTGAGTTTTTAATTCACTCTACTTTATGTTATGTCTTCTTAAGTACTTTATTGATCATAAGTGAATCTGTCTTACTTATGTGCTTATCGCTTAGTATATTCCCTGTTTAATTGCTAAACATCTTTAGGGCAAAATTATTCGCTTAATTTACTTATCTATATCATCTAGAGGTCACTAATTTGAATATTGCTTTAACTCAGATTAAATTTAACTTTTATTAGTAGTATCAATTAGACGAACATTGATAAAAAGTGTAGCAAACTGGGGAAATGCATTTTATTTATTTATTACAAAGACTAATTAATTGACTGGAATATCTAGCATCCTTAACACCATGAACACAAATAATCTGGTCAACACTGTAATAACTTGATTTTTTCATTCGTTACTAGGTTCTCTAAATCAATTCTTATGTTTTTTTTATTTTATAAAAAAACAAACAAAAACAAACTAAATACTTAATCGATTAAAACACAACTGTTTTGTAAAGCTGCCGATCAATTTACTTATTTATTCACACTCTACTTCTAATCAGTCATAATTCTATTCGTGTTCCAATTGCACTCTTTTTTAATATTATACAGTTTGTCCTTATGTAATTTGTTTTACAAAGCCCGCATTTGCTTATCGACTTGAATTTATATCCTATAATTTATACTTGTAATAAATGATGAGTGTAACAAATTACTAAATTTTTTTAAAATATGTCCAGATGATATTGTGTATTAAGGCAATGAATAGTTTAGAGAACAAAGCACTGCCAAAATACTTCGATTGAACTGCATTATCTTCTTCATCCTCCTAAAAATTAGTAATTATTATGCAAGAAAACAAAAACAATAACTACATATGTGATCATTTAAGTTATTATACTCTTAACATCTTTGATTTTCGGTTGACTTGAACTCAAAATATAGAGACGAGTAGTTATTCGATGACTATTCTTTATGAAGCATATCTTCAAATCCTATTGAATAAATGTTAAACAATACAACTCGATAACTTTGTTCAAATTTTTCATTGGCGTTATAAACTATATCTATTTTAAGACAATGAATAAAACCCAATCACCTAGAACAATAATGTATAAGCACACAAAGATGTATGTATGGTGACATATGGTTAAGGTAATTTTCGTGACGAACCTTTGGAAACAAAACGGTATTAGGAAGTTATATTTCATTCTGATGAAGGCATCTTAACAATGCGCGTATTATGAATAAGTACAAGATCTCCAGGCTTTTATTTTTCAACTAGGCGCCCAAATCCCCTGGTATGGCCGAGAGTGGGGAGAGTCCGCTCTCCCTCTCGAAATACTCTCACACGGCCACGCGTATACAGCCTCTGACAGGGAAGTCCTACTCACTGCCTTCTCGTGGCAGGGGTGTTTACGAAATTGAAAGGACGAAAAGCGAATGTCCGGAGCTTTAACCAGGTTAGTGGACATGGTGAGTTCACCTAGGAGAGTTGGAAAACCCTGATTCCAAACAAATGGTGCACATGGGCTCCAGTATCCTGAGGGAACAAATGGCGTATGAACCAATCGTTGATCACCGGCTATCATGGGACTGCATCTCCTTACGATGCCCCACTGCCTTGTGGATCAGACCTTCAGGTCGAAGGCTCCGGGTGTGCCCCTCTAAGAAAACCACCTGCTTCGGTCTGGGCACCCGGGCAGTATCACAGCCCTCACACATATGAAATGAGATTTGTGTGGCGCATATGTATTTGGTGCCTCCTTGTACCAATATTTATGTGTTAAAATAAAAAAAATAAATGTACCTTCAAGCCACCGAGTAAGAAAATGATCTATACTTTATTCCGTAATATTAACTTTTCCTAACCACATGATACATTCTCACTCGATAATCCGACTGTTCGTCCAAGAACCAGATACAGACTAGAACAAGAGTTTTATTATGACAAAAGTACAAAGGATAAAAGAATATATCACAGCATAGATATGTGATATACCATATATGTCAACCTACAGTCATTAACCAGCCACAGGTTACTTGGGATGGACATAACACTTTCGCTATCATTCAATTTTTAATATAGGATGGTTTTTATCTATTACAATCACCATGAGACTTGATAACTCTCAGTTTACTTGTATGTTAGTGTTTGGATCCTCTAGTCATTTAAGAAAATTTTTTTGAAATGTTCGTTAGTTCTACTTTTGATGTCAGTTTGTGTTGATAATTACTTTTAAACTGTCGGAACTCTGCAACATAGAATGGGATTAGAACATGTAATCAGCGCGTTTGAAAGTTTCAGCGCCACCTACATCTAACTTAATTAGCCATGTAGGCAGCTGCAAACTAACCTGGTTACAATCAGAGTGACTATCATGACCAATAATTAGAAACGTTGGTTGAAGTGCTTCAGAATCGGTAATAATAATAATATATGGATTCACTCTTTGTATTTCGTTAAATCCTAAGTTTTAAATTTATTTCATACTTTTTTTTCGACTTCCTGTTCTTGACTCAAGTTTTCTGTTATCTAAGCTTTGGAGTTTTTACACACACATATATAAGTATAAATAGTTTTTAAGAAAAAAAAATTAATTTTGTAATAATCTCAACACTTTAACTCCAGTTTCTTAGTTTCCTCTTCCTCTTCTTCTTTATTTCGATGTTCTTTTTTACCTTTTCTCAACAGTCTATCAATATAACGTGCTCATCCACCCACTTGTTTATTTATTTCATACTGAAATAATTCATATATATATATAATTGTTCCCCTTCCATAATGATGCTTCTTTTGTTTCATGTATATCGTATATACCCAGGGTATACGTAACTGTGTGTTACTTATACTGTATTAATCTTAATGTGCACTTGTTCATTAATTTGCATGGTTTAGTCGTAATTAGAAAACTTTTCTCTAAGAAATGTGTTGTTTTTTAAGACCAGTTGAAATTATTCGCGGTCGTTCAATATATGTTCAATAACTATAATTATTCTCTAAAAAACAAACAATAATGAAATACTATTAAGATTTTTGAGAATTTTTAAAATTTCATAGTTAACATCACAGACTGATCTCAGTTGAACAACCACTAAAGACCAGAAAGCACTGGATAACTATTTTATTTTAGTATGGGACTCCTTAGTGGTGCGCATCCGCGACCCCATCAAAGGTTAATTATAAAGTAATTGGATAGCTACTGTCACTATGTTTATATATAGAAAGAGGAAGTGATTGAGTGAGATGATGCTTGTTGTGCCTATAGATTTCATTGTCTGAGTGTAAGTGTATCATTTTATTATTGTAATTTATAAAACTGAATGGAAAAACGTTATTCAGCATATTGACGAAGTACAGATTCACATGGGGTTAGGTTTTAATTTTAATTTATGTACCATGACAAT